ACATCATCCATCTTTGAAGCAGTTTGGTTGCAAAATTAGGTCTCAGCAATTACAGGCATCCAAGCTAGCAGCTAGCTAACTCCAGTCAAATAAGGAGGACCATGTTGTCATGATGGAATAAGTCACCCACTGTATGTGAAGCTAGCCACAATACGGATTAGCCACAATAGTGGAATTTCCTTTTTGCCTTAGCAATTGTTGGTGAGATGAGACGTAGTGCCATAATATAAATAATATCTTAGCTAGTTATAAATTCACATGTATGGGTTAGGGTTAGGATACTCTCATGTATGCAATATAATTTGTCGTAGCTGTTATCTCTGCAGGTTTGTCATCTGATTTTTTGGAGCCTGGTGGAGATAGATGCCACCATTCTACAAGGCAGGACATTTCTCTGACCCAGGAACATGGAGCACTCCGTATCAGTAAATCATTATATTATTGTTTTGCTTTACATTGCATGATACTAGCCAGGAGGCCCTGGGCCAGTGGGAGGTATACTAGCCAGGAGGCCCTGGGCCAGTGGGAATTATACTAGCCAGGAGGCCCTGGGCCAGTGGGAGGTATACTAGCCAGGAGGCCCTGGGCCAGTGGGAGGTATACTAGCCAGGAGGCCCTGGGCCAGTGGGAGGTATACTAACCAGGAGGCCCTGGGCCAGTGGGAGGTATACTAGCCAGGAGGCCCTGGGCCAGTGGGAGGTATACTAGCCAGGAGGCCCTGGGCCAGTGGGAGGTATACTAGCCAGGAGGCCCTGGGCCAGTGGGAGGTATACTAGCCAGGAGGCCCTGGGCCAGTGGGAGGTATACTAGCCAGGAGGCCCTGGGCCAGTGGGAGGTATACTAGCCAGGAGGCCCTGGGCCAGTGGGAGGTATACTAGCCAGGAGGCCCTGGGCCAGTGGGAGGTATACTAGCCAGGAGGCCCTGGGCCAGTGGGAGGTCAGGTCTCTCTCTCTTTCTAGCACTCACTACCTCTATCCGTCTCTCTCCAGGTGCTACAGAGACATCTGACCAACTAGCTGCGATCTCTCCAAAACACAGAGATGTAAGCTCCACTCATAATAGTATACTCTGTAAACCTCCTCCACTGTGGCAGTCTGCTTGTGTGATGCTAGCATATTATCAAGGGCCAATGGTTGGATTGGAGTTACTGTACTCCCTCCAACTCATGCTCTCTCCTCCCTGTAAAAGTCTCCCAGACGTATCAAAACGTGTCCATGCTCCTGTTCCCAGGTGAGTCTGCTGGCCCATGGAACTCTAGAGAAGCACATCAAAACACCTTCCATCCTGTTGTCAGCAGGCCGTTCCCTGAGGAAGGATGCAACTATCAAGGCTTTCAAAGGCAACATTTTGGGGATGACCAACTGCAATAAAGTTTTGTATAAACAATTCATTTTCATTTTTTTTATTGTTAGATTACAAAACAATAACTTCTTCATAGCACGTTGGTCTTCAAACGGACTTCTGTGGTAGCAGACATCCAGACAACACTTACAGCTGATGATTCTAAAGTCTCATGCCCAGGTGAATACATATTTAATAATGTATATCAGAAACATCACACAGGTGTGTCAACTAACATATATACATGTATCCCAGACTGAAGAATGGGACAAGTAGACAAAGTGAATATAAGTCAGTGATTGCATCCGTAGCGGTTGGTGTGAATTTGAGTGGTTACATACAATACATGTTGACAGAATGGCTGTGAGGCAGAGAGAGTGTTGCTGTACTCCCAGGTAAGGCCCTGGGCCAGTAGGAGGTCAGGTCTCTCTACCTCTATCCGACAGAATGGCTGTGAGGCAGAGAGAGTGTTGCTGTACTCCCAGGTAAGGCCCTTGCTTCTGGAAGGTCCCAGTATTCAGACAGGCAGCTTGAAGAAGATGTGTCACCATCCAAGTCCATGTAACAGCATGCAGGGGCCTGATAGGGAGATGACAATAAATACATGATGTATCTTTCATCACCAAAGACGTTAGCATTTACTGCACATGTTGATCAACAATTCAACCCTTTTGTCAGTGTCATTGATATATGGAAATTCACATACAATATTCAGTTCATAAGCATTGACTAATACCTCTAGGACAGAGGTAGGTAACCCTGGTCCTGGAGTGCCGCAGCCACTTCATGTTTTGGATTCAACCGACCTGGAAGACCAGGTATGTTGAATTTAGGCAATCACTGAACTGATCAATTAGCTCAGTTGGTCAGGGCTCAGTTGGACAGGGCTCAGTTGGACAGGGCTCAGTTGGTCAGGGCTCAGTTGGTCAGGGCTCAGTTGGACAGGGCTCAGTTGGTCAGGGCTCAGTTGGTCAGAGCTCAGTTGGTCAGGGCTCAGTTGGTCAGAGCTCAGTTGGTCAGGGCTCAGTTTGACAGGGCTCAGTTGGACAGGGCTCAGTTGGTCAGGGCTCAGTTGGTCAGGGCTCAGTTGGACAGGGCTCAGTTGGTCAGGGCTCAGTTGGTCAGAGCTCAGTTGGTCAGGGCTCAGTTGGTCAGGGCTCAGTTGGTCAGGGCTCAGTTGGTCAGAGCTCAGTTGGTCAGGGCTCAGTTGGTCAGAGCTCAGTTGGTCAGGGCTCAGTTGGTCAGGGCTCAGTTGGTCAGGGCTCAGTTGGTCAGAGCTCAGTTGGTCAGAGCTCAGTTGGTCAGAGCTCAGTTGGTCAGGGCTCAGTTGGTCAGAGCTCAGTTGGTCAGGGCTCAGTTGGTCAGGGCTCAGTTGGTCAGAGCTCAGTTGGTCAGGGCTCAGTTGGTCAGGGCTCAGTTGGTCAGAGCTCAGTTGGTCAGAGCTCAGTTGGTCAGGGCTCAGTTGGTCAGAGCTCAGTTGGACAGGGCTCAGTTGGTCAGGGCTCAGTTGGACAGGGCTCAGTTGGTCAGGGCTCAGTTGGTCAGGGCTCAGTTGGTCAGGGCTCAGTTTGACAGGGCTCAGTTTGACAGGGCTCAGTTTGACAGGGCTCAGTTTGACAGGGCTCAGTTGGTCAGAGGCTCAGTTTGACAGGGCTCAGTTTGACAGGGCTCAGTTTGGACAGGGCTCAGTTGGACAGGGCTCAGTTGGTCAGGGCTCAGTTGGACAGGGCTCAGTTGGTCAGGGCTCAGTTGGTCAGAGCTCAGTTGGTCAGGGCTCAGTTGGTCAGGGCTCAGTTGGTCAGGGCTCAGTTGGTCAGAGCTCAGTTGGTCAGGGCTCAGTTGGTCAGGGCTCAGTTGGTCAGAGCTCAGTTGGTCAGGGCTCAGTTGGTCAGAGCTCAGTTGGTCAGGGCTCAGTTGGTCAGGGCTCAGTTGGTCAGAGCTCAGTTGGTCAGAGCTCAGTTGGTCAGAGCTCAGTTGGTCAGGGCTCAGTTGGTCAGAGCTCAGTTGGTCAGGGCTCAGTTGGTCAGGGCTCAGTTGGTCAGAGCTCAGTTGGTCAGGGCTCAGTTGGTCAGGGCTCAGTTGGTCAGAGCTCAGTTGGTCAGGGCTCAGTTGGTCAGAGCTCAGTTGGTCAGAGCTCAGTTGGTCAGGGCTCAGTTGGTCAGAGCTCAGTTGGACAGGGCTCAGTTGGTCAGGGCTCAGTTGGACAGGGCTCAGTTGGTCAGAGCTCAGTTGGTCAGGGCTCAGTTGGTCAGAGCTCAGTTGGTCAGGGCTCAGTTGGTCAGGGCTCAGTTTGACAGGGCTCAGTTTGACAGGGCTCAGTTTGACAGGGCTCAGTTTGACAGGGCTCAGTTGGTCAGGGCTCAGTTGGTCAGGGCTCAGTTTGACAGGGCTCAGTTTGACAGGGCTCAGTTGGTCAGGGCTCAGTTGGTCAGGGCTCAGTTTGACAGGGCTCAGTTTGACAGGGCTCAGTTTGACAGGGCTCAGTTGGTCAGGGCTCAGTTTGACAGGGCTCAGTTGGTCAGGGCTCAGTTGGTCAGGGCTCAGTTGGTCAGGGCTTCGATCAGTACATAAAAACTTAATAGAACATTCAATTGAAAGGAAGCGGTGCTGTACTGAACGACCAGTTGAAAAACGGGGAAGGGTTGGGTTGTGTGTTCAAAATGCACCGCTGCCTTTTAAATATGTCACTTCATGCTTCAAGCCACACCCTGGCACACCCACTGAATGGAGCAAACGTATCTCAAAGTCTGTTCAAGAACGTACAAGGACGTTTTGGGAAAACGTTCAGTAAAAACCGTTCCGCAACGTAGCAAACGTTCAAGCGAACTGAATGCACCTCTGGTTATGGGCCTTATGGAACAGAGCGCAGAGCGGCATTTTTAAAAGGACGGAGCGTTGTCCTATGTCCCGCTCCAATTTCGCTCGCTCACACCACGAGTCTGAAGCATGCTCAAGCCTGACCCAGAATCCATCTGTTTAATTTAATTTGTGTCGTCCATGAATTTGTATTTTATAGAGCGAGAGGAGCCGCAGCAGCAACAAGAGAAAAGGGTTGAGGAATTCAAAAGTTTCTTCACGCAAAGGCCCAACCATAACAAGGGAGAGAAAAAGAGAGCTGGATGTAGCATTTAAAAAAATTATTTACATGGACTATGAACCGCTGAGTAAAGGAGAACGCGAAGGGATGCAACACTTCGCCAGCGCAGCTCAACCGCAGATTTTTTTCATTTTTTGGAGCGAGCGGGGGGCGATTTGAGTGGAGCGCGATGCAAACTGCGTTGAGCGCTGAGCGATAATGAGCGGACTGGCCTGATGTGGCTTTGAGCGGGGGGAGCGGAGGGGTGAACAGCTCCGTGAGCGCTGAGCGATAATGAGCGGACTGGCCTGATGTGGCTTTGGGCGGGGGGAGCGGGGGGGTGAACAGCTCCGTGAGCGAGGAGCTGAGATTCTGCGACACTCCAGCAACAGGGTTGCCTACCCCTGCTCTAGGGTCCTGTGGTGAAACGACTGCTGTGCAAGGTATTGGGCAACAGCTTTCTTCCATGGCCCATATTCACAAAGCTTCCCAGAGGGGATAGTGATCTAGGATAACATCCCCCTTGTAGGGATAGTGATCTAGGATAACATCCCCCTTGTAGGGATAGTGATCTAGGATAACATCCCCCTTGTAGGGATAGTGATCTAGGATAACATCCCCCTTGTAGGGATAGAGATCTAGGATAACATCCCCCTTGTAGGGATAGTGATCTAGGATAACATCCCCCTTGTAGGGATAGTGATCTAGGATAACATCCCCCTTGTAGGGATAGTGATCTAGGATAACCTCCCCCTTGTAGGGATAGTGATCTAGGATAACCTCCCCCTTGTAGGGATAGTGATCTAGGATAACCTCCCCCTTGTAGGGATAGTGATCTGGGATAGTGATCTGGGATAACATCCCCCTTGTAGGGATAGTGATCTGGGATAACATCCCCCTTGTAGGGATAGTGATCTAGGATAACATCCCCCTTGTAGGGATAGTGATCTAGGATAACATCCCCCTTGTAGGGATAGTGATCTAGGATAACATCCCCCTTGTAGGGATAGTGATCTAGGATAACATCCCCCTTGTAGGGATAGTGATCTAGGATAACATCCCCCTTGTAGGGATAGTGATCTAGGATAACATCCCCCTTGTAGGGATAGTGATCTGGGATAACATCCCCCTTGTAGGGATAGTGATCTGGGATAACATCCCCCTTGTAGGGATAGTGATCTAGGATAACATCCCCCTTGTAGGGATAGTGATCTAGGATAACATCCCCCTTGTAGGGATAGTGATCTAGGATAACATCCCCCTTGTAGGGATAGTGATCTAGGATAACCTCCCCCTTGTAGGGATAGTGATCTAGGATAACCTCCCCCTTGTAGGGATAGTGATCTAGGATAACCTCCCCCTTGTAGGGATAGTGATCTGGGATAGTGATCTGGGATAACATCCCCCTTGTAGGGATAGTGATCTGGGATAACATCCCCCTTGTAGGGATAGTGATCTAGGATAAGCTCCCCCTTGTAGGGATAGTGATCTAGGATAACCTCCCCCTTGTAGGGATAGTGATCTAGGATAACATCCCCCTTGTAGGGATAGTGATCTGGGATAACATCCCCCTTGTAGGGATAGTGATCTAGGATAACCTCCCCCTTGTAGGGATAGTGATCTGGGATAACATCCCCCTTGTAGGGATAGTGATCTGGGATAACATCCCCCTTGTAGGGATAGTGATCTGGGATAACCTCCCCCTTGTAGGGATAGTGATCTGGGATAACATCCCCCTTGTAGGGATAGTGATCTGGGATAACATCCCCCTTGTAGGGATAGTGATCTGGGATAACATCCCCCTTGTAGGGATAGTGATCTGGGATAACATCCCCCTTGTAGGGATAGTGATCTGGGATAACATCCCCCTTGTAGGGATAGTGATCTAGGATAACCTCCCCCTTGTAGGGATAGTGATCTAGGATAACATCCCCCTTGTAGGGATAGTGATCTGGGATAGTGATCTGGGATAACATCCCCCTTGTAGGGATAGTGATCTGGGATAACCTCCCCCTTGTAGGGATAGTGATCTAGGATAACCTCCCCCTTGTAGGGATAGTGATCTGGGATAGTGATCTGGGATAACATCCCCCTTGTAGGGATAGTGATCTGGGATAACATCCCCCTTGTAGGGATAGTGATCTGGGATAACCTCCCCCTTGTAGGGATAGTGATCTGGGATAGTGATCTGGGATAACCTCCCCCTTGTAGGGATAGTGATCTGGGATAACCTCCCCCTTGTAGGGATAGTGATCTGGGATAACCTCCCCCTTGTAGGGATAGTGATCTGGGATAACCTCCCCCTTGTAGGGATAGTGATCTGGGATAGTGATCTGGGATAACCTCCCCCTTGTAGGGATAGTGATCTGGGATAACCTCCCCCTTGTAGGGATAGTGATCTGGGATAACCTCCCCCTTGTAGGGATAGTGATCTGGGATAACCTCCCCCTTGTAGGGATAGTGATCTGGGATAACCTCCCCCTTGTAGGGATAGTGATCTGGGATAACCTCCCCCTTGTAGGGATAGTGATCTGGGATAACATCCCCCTTGTAGGGATAGTGATCTAGGATAACATCCCCCTTGTAGGGATAGTGATCTGGGATAACCTCCCCCTTGTAGGGATAGTGATCTAGGATAACAATCCCCCTTGTAGGGATAGTGATCTGGGATAACATCCCCCTTGTAGGGATAGTGATCTGGGATAACATCCCCCTTGTAGGGATAGTGATCTGGGATAACCTCCCCCTTGTAGGGATAGTGATCTGGGATAGTGATCTAGGATAACCTCCCCCTTGTAGGGATAGTGATCTGGGATAACCTCCCCCTTGTAGGGATAGTGATCTGGGATAACCTCCCCCTTGTAGGGATAGTGATCTGGGATAACCTCCCCCTTGTAGGGATAGTGATCTGGGATAGTGATCTGGGATAACCTCCCCCTTGTAGGGATAGTGATCTGGGATAACCTCCCCCTTGTAGGGATAGTGATCTGGGATAACCTCCCCCTTGTAGGGATAGTGATCTGGGATAACCTCCCCCTTGTAGGGATAGTGATCTGGGATAACCTCCCCCTTGTAGGGATAGTGATCTGGGATAACCTCCCCCTTGTAGGGATAGTGATCTGGGATAACATCCCCCTTGTAGGGATAGTGATCTAGGATAACATCCCCCTTGTAGGGATAGTGATCTGGGATAACCTCCCCCTTGTAGGGATAGTGATCTAGGATAACCATCCCCCTTGTAGGGATAGTGATCTGGATAACCTCCCCCTTGTAGGGATAGTGATCTGGGATAACCTCCCGCTTGTAGGGATAGTGATCTGGGATAACCTCCCCCTTGTAGGGATAGTGATCTGGGATAACCTCCCCCTTGTAGGGATAGTGATCTGGGATAACCTCCCCCTTGTAGGGATAGTGATCTGGGATAACCTCCCCCTTGTAGGGATAGTGATCTGGGATAACATCCCCCTTGTAGGGATAGTGATCTAGGATAACATCCCCCTTGTAGGGATAATGATCTGGGATAACCTCCCCCTTGTAGGGATAGTGATCTAGGATAACAATCCCCCTTGTAGGGATAGTGATCTGGGATAACATCCCCCTTGTAGGGATAGTGATCTGGGATAACATCCCCCTTGTAGGGATAGTGATCTGGGATAACCTCCCCCTTGTAGGGATAGTGATCTGGGATAACATCCCCCTTGTAGGGATAGTGATCTGGGATAACATCCCCCTTGTAGGGATAGTGATCTGGGATAACCTCCCCCTTGTAGGGATAGTGATCTGGGATAGTGATCTGGGATAACATCCCCCTTGTAGGGATAGTGATCTGGGATAGTGATCTGGGATAACATCCCCCTTGTAGGGATAGTGATCTGGGATAACCTCCCCCTTGTAGGGATAGTGATCTGGGATAACCTCCCCCTTGTAGGGATAGTGATCTGGGATAACATCCCCCTTGTAGGGATAGTGATCTAGGATAACATCCCCCTTGTAGGGATAGTGATCTGGGATAACCTCCCCCTTGTAGGGATAGTGATCTAGGATAACAATCCCCCTTGTAGGGATAGTGATCTGGGATAACCTCCCCCTTGTAGGGATAGTGATCTGGGATAACCTCCCCCTTGTAGGGATAGTGATCTGGGATAACCTCCCCCTTGTAGGGATAGTGATCTGGGATAACCTCCCCCTTGTAGGGATAGTGATCTGGGATAACCTCCCCCTTGTAGGGATAGTGATCTGGGATAACCTCCCCCTTGTAGGGATAGTGATCTGGGATAACATCCCCCTTGTAGGGATAGTGATCTAGGATAACATCCCCCTTGTAGGGATAATGATCTGGGATAACCTCCCCCTTGTAGGGATAGTGATCTAGGATAACAATCCCCCTTGTAGGGATAGTGATCTGGGATAACATCCCCCTTGTAGGGATAGTGATCTGGGATAACATCCCCCTTGTAGGGATAGTGATCTGGGATAACCTCCCCCTTGTAGGGATAGTGATCTGGGATAACATCCCCCTTGTAGGGATAGTGATCTGGGATAACATCCCCGTTGTAGGGATAGTGATCTGGGATAACCTCCCCCTTGTAGGGATAGTGATCTGGGATAGTGATCTGGGATAACATCCCCCTTGTAGGGATAGTGATCTGGGATAGTGATCTGGGATAACATCCCCCTTGTAGGGATAGTGATCTGGGATAGTGATCTGGGATAACATCCCCCTTGTAGGGATAGTGATCTGGGATAACATCCCCCTTGTAGGGATAGTGATCTGGGATAACATCCCCCTTGTGGGGATAGTGATCTGGGATAACATCCCCCTTGTCAATGTACTTGGCCTCAGTGTGACGCAAAACTGATCCTAGATCAGTCCTCCTACTCTGAGAGTCTTTGTGAATATAGGCCCCGCCCTGTCAGCATGCTGGCCTGTATGGTCCCTGCCCTGTCAGCATGCTGGCCTGTATGGTCCCTGGTCTGTCTGCATGCTGGCCTGTACGGTCCCTGGTCTGTCTGCATGCTGGCCTGTACGGGCCCCGCCCTGTCAGCATGCTGGCCTGTACGGTCCCTTCCCTGTCTGCATGCTGGCCTGTACGGTCCCTGCCCTGTCTGCATGCTGGCCTGTACGGTCCCTGCCCTGTCAGCATGCTGGCCTGTACGGGCCCTGGTCTGTCAGCATGCTGGCCTGTACGGTCCCTGCCCTGTCAGCATGCTGGCCTGTACGGGCCCTGGTCTGTCAGCATGCTGGCCTGTACGGTCCCTGGTCTGTCTGCATGCTGGCCTGTACGGTCCCTGCCCTGTCAGCATGCTGGCCTGTACGGGCCCTGGTCTGTCAGCATGCTGGCCTGTACGGTCCCTGGTCTGTCTGCATGCTGGCCTGTACGGGCCCTGCCCTGTCAGCATGCTGGCCTGTACGGTCCCTGCCCTGTCAGCATGCTGGCCTGTACGGGCCCTGGTCTGTCAGCATGCTGGCCTGTACGGTCCCTGGTCTGTCTGCATGCTGGCCTGTACGGTCCCTGGTCTGTCTGCATGCTGGCCTGTACGGGCCCTGGTCTGTCAGCATGCTGGCCTGTACGGTCCCTGCCCTGTCAGCATGCTGGCCTGTACGGTCCCTGGTCTGTCTGCATGCTGGCCTGTACGGTCCCTGGTCTGTCTGCATGCTGGCCTGTACGGTCCCTGCCCTGTCAGCATGCTGGCCTGTACGGTCCCTGGTCTGTCAGCATGCTGGCCTGTACGGGCCCTGGTCTGTCAGCATGCTGGCCTGTACGGTCCCTGGTCTGTCAGCATGCTGGCCTGTACGGTCCCTGGTCTGTCTGCATGCTGGCCTGTACGGTCCCTGGTCTGTCTGCATGCTGGCCTGTACGGTCCCTGGTCTGTCAGCATGCTGGCCTGTACGGTCCCTGCCCTGTCAGCATGCTGGCCTGTAAGTCATCCACCTGAAATGAATAAGAATGAGCTTAGTCAGTAACTTAGCTAACTAGCTAATGAAACACTGATGTGTATATTTGTATATTTGTTCACTGTATGTGCAGGGCCAGATTAAGACATTTTAGGCCCTGGGGCATTGTTTCTTTAGGCCCCCCCCCCTTTTTTTGGATACAATGCAGCACAGTAAAGCAGAACATTTATATGTTTGTGTTTCATAATCATCACAGTTAAAACCGGAGAGCAACATCTTTTGGATACCAAAGAATGTCTGCAGCATTGAAGGTCCCCAAGAACACAGTGGCCTCCATCATTCTTTAATGGAAGAAGTTTGGAACCACCAAGACTCTTCCTAGAGCGGGCCTCCCAGCCAAACTGAGCCATCGGAGGAGAAGGGCTTTGGTCAGGGAGGTGACCAAGAACCCGATGGTCACTCTGACAGAAATCCAGAGTTCCTCTGTGGAGACGGGAGAACCTTCCAGAAGGACAGCCATCTCTGCAGCACTCCACCAATCAGGCCTTTATGGTAGAGTAGCCAGACGGAAGCCACTCCTCAGTAAAAGGCAAATGACAGACCGCTTGGAGTTTGCCAAAAGGCACCTAAAGGACTCTCAGACCATGATAAACAAGATTATCTGGTCTGATGAAACCAAGATTGAACTCTTTGGCCTGAATGCCAAGCGTCACATCTGGAGGAAACCTGGCACCATCCTTACGGTGAAGCATGGTGGTGGCAGCATCATGCTGTGGGGATGTTTTTCAGCGTCATGGACTGGGAGACTAGTCAGGATCGAGTGAAAGATGAATGGAGCAAAGTACAGAGAGATCCTTGATGAAAACCTGCTCCAGAGCGCTCAGGACCTCAGACTGGAGCCAAGGTTCACCTTCCAACAGGACAACGACCCTAAGCACACAGCAAAGACAATGCTGGAGTGGCTTTGGGACAAGTCTCTGAATGTCCTTGAGTGGCCCAGCCAGAGCCTGGACTTGAACCCGATCTAACATTTCTGGAGAGACCTGAAAATAGCTGTGCAGCAACGCTCCCCATCCAACCTGACAGAACTTGAGAGGATCTGCAGAGAAGAATGGGAGAAACTCCCCAAATACAGGTGTGCCAAGCTTGTAGCGTCATACCCAAGAAAACTCGAGGCTGTAATCGCTGCCAAAGGCGCTTCAACAAAGTACTGAGTAAAGGGTCTGAATACTTATGTAAATGTAATATTTCCATTTTTTATTATTAATACATTTGCAAAAAATTCTAAAAACCTGTTTTTGCTTTCTCATTATGGGGTATTGTGTGTAGATTGATGAGGGGAGGGGGAGGGGGGGGACGACGACAATTTAATCCATTTTAGAATAAGTCTGTAACGTAACAAAATGTGGAAAGAGTCAACAGGTCTGAATACCTTCCGAATGCTCTCCCATCTGTAGGCATACCGGTAACTGCCAAAATAAAGTAAACGAGGGATACATGTTATGGTGTGGGGTGCATTTTCCTGCTATGGTTTAGGTCCACTTGTAGAATCTATGCCCAGGCGCATTGAAGCTGTTCTGGCTCAACATGTTTTATGATGGTGTTTCCTTTATTTTGGCAGTTACATGTACACTACCGTTCAAAAGTTTTAGAACACCTACTCATTCAAGGGTTTTTCTTTTTTTGTACTATTTTCTACATTGTATAATAAAAGTGAAGACATCAAAACTATGAAATAACAATGGAATCATATGTGCTGGTAGAGCACGGCGCTTGTAACGCCAGGGTAGTGGGTTCGATCCCCGGGACCACCCATACACAAAAATGTATGCACGCATGACTGTAAGTCGCTTTGGATAAAAGCGTCTGCTAAATGGCATATTATTATTATTATATTATTATTATGTAGTAGCCAAAAAAGTGTTAAACAAATCCAAATATATTTGAGATTTGAGATTCTTCAAATAGCCACCATTTGCCTTGATGACAGCTTTGCACACTCTTGGCATTCTCTCAACCAGCTTCATGAGGTAGTCACCTGGAATGCATTTTAATTAACAGGTGTGCCTTCTTAAAAGTTAATTTGTAGAATTTATTTCCTTCTTAATGCGTTTGAGCCAATCAGTTGTGTTGTGACAAGGTAGGGGGGTATACAGAAGATGGTCTTTTACCAAATAGGGCTAAGTCCATATTATGGCAAGAACAGCTCAAATAAGCAAAGAGAAACGACAGTCCATCATTACTTTAAGACATGAAGGTCAGTCAATACGGAACATTTCAAGAACTTTGAACGTTTCTTCAAGTGCAGTCACAAAAACCATCAAGCGCTATGATGAAACTGGCTCTCATGAGGACCGCCACAGGAATGGAAGACCCAGAGTTACCTCTGCTGCAGAGGATAAGTTCATTAGAGTTACCAGCCAAATAAATGCTTCACAGAGTTCAAGTAACAGACACATCTCAACATCAACTGTTCAGAGGAGACTTTGAATCAGGCCTTCATGGTCAAATTGCTGCAAAGAAACCACTACTAAAGGACACCAATAAGAAGAAGAGACTTGCTTGGGCCAAGAAACACGAGCAATGGACATTAGACTGGTGGAAATTTGTCCTTTGGTCTGGAGTCAAAATTTGAGATTTTTGGTTCCAACTCCGTGTCTTTGTGAGACGCGGTGTGGGTGAACGGATGATCTCCGCATGTGTAGTTCCCACCGTGAATCATGGAGGAGGAGGTGTTATGGTGTGGGGGTGCTTTGCTGGTGACACTGTCGGTTATTTATTTAGAATTCAAGGCACACTTAACCAGCATGGCTACCACAGCATTCTGCAGCGATACGCCATCCCATCTGGTTTGGGCTTAGTGGGACTATCATTTGTTTTTCAACAGGACAATGACCCAAAACACACCTCCAGGCTGTGTAAGGGATATTTTACCAAGAAGGAGAGTGATGGAGTGCTGCATCAGATGACCTGGCCTCCACAATCCCCCGACCTCAACCAAATTGAGATGGTTTGGGATGAGTCGGACCGCAGAGTGAAGGAAAAGCAGCCAACAAGTGCTCAGCATATGTGGGAACTCCTTCAAGACTGTTGGAAAAGCATTCCAGGTGAAGCTGGTTGAGAGAATGCCAAGAGTGTGCAAAGCTGTCATCAAGGCAAAGGGTGGCTATTTGAAGAATCTCAAATATTAAATATATTTTGATTTGTTTAACACTTTTTTGGTTATTTCTATTCATTTTTTGCCTCTTGGGCCCCCCACAGGCCTGGGCCCAGGGGCTTCATTAATCCTGCCCTGCCTATGTGTCCCTTGTAGCAGCTAACTGACTAAGTTTTCAATGAATGCCTCGTCCACACGGAAAATCAGGAGATTCTCGTTTTTATGTGTAGCCACAATTTGTTCGCATTCAAAATAAAAGTCCTGCATTGAAACTGATGCAAACAGATACAAATAGTTGGTTTTATGCCATATTTGGACCAGATAATGCTTAACAGGTTTAGAATGTTGTTATATAAATTCAATAATGAGTTAATTTGGTCCTCCATACTAAAGATAACTGTCTACATGTACTGTCCTTGTATGGTCAGGTGAAGGGCAGATCAGTGGAGTTGATTTATTCCTAATTATAAGGAGACATCTCTGTTTAGGATACGGATGTTACTGGTGTAACACAATACATATTACTGGTGCTGTAAAAAATAGGTATATTATTGTTGTACGACCATAATACAAACAAATGGCAAATATATTAGTGTAATACAATACATATTACTGGTATATCAATACAATCCAAAGTGACATCCTAACTAGCTGGTCAGTGGAGAGCAGAGACATAGATATATAAATACTATTATAGACATTATATACAAATAAAATCATTGAGAGAAATAACCTTTTCCAAACAATCATTTTATTGATAAACACAAAAGGACAAAGACAATCATTAGTGTGTGGAGTTGTAGTACATCTGGAGTGTTGTATTTATAGTTGTAGTACATCTGGAGTGTTGTATTTATAGTTGTAGTACATCTGGAGTGTTGTATTTATAGTTGTAGTACATCTGGAGTGTTGTATTTATAGTTGTAGTACATCTGGAGTGTTGTATTTATAGTTGTAGTACATCTGGAGTGTTGTATTTATAGTTGTTGTACATCTGGAGTGTTGTATTTATAGTTGTAGTACATCTGGAGTGTTGTATTTATAGTTGTAGTACATCTGGAGTGTTGTATTTATAGTTGTAGTACATCTGGAGTGTTGTATTTATAGTTGTAGTACATCTGGAGTGTTGTATTTATAGTTGTAGTACATCTGGAGTGTTGTATTTATAGTTGTAGTACATCTGGAGTGTTGTATTTATAGTTGTTGTACATCTGGAGTGTTGTATTTATAGTTGTAGTACATCTGGAGTGTTGTATTTATAGTTGTAGTACATATGGAGTGTTTTATTTATAGTTGTAGTACATCTGGGGTGTTGTATTTATAGTTGTAGTACATCTGGGGTGTTGTATTTATAGTTGTAGTACATCTGGAGTGTTGTATTTATAGTTGTAGTACATCTGGAGTGTTGTATTTATAGTTGTAGTACATCTGGGGTGTTGTATTTATAGTTGTAGTACATCTGGAGTGTTGTATTTATAGTTGTAGTACATCTGGAGTGTTGTATTTATAGTTGTAGTACATCTGGAGTGTTGTATTTATAGTTGTAGTACATCTGGAGTGTTGTATTTATAGTTGTAGTACATCTGGAGTGTTGTATTTATAGTTGTAGTACATCTGGAGTGTTGTATTTATAGTTGTAGTACATCTGGGGTGTTGTATTTATAGTTGTAGTACATCTGGAGTGTTGTATTTATAGTTGTTGTACATCTGGAGTGTTGTATTTATAGTTGTAGTACATATGGAGTGTTGTATTTATAGTTGTAGTACATCTGGAGTGTTGTATTTATAGTTGTAGTACATCTGGAGTGTTGTAATTAATACATCTGGAGTGTTGTATTTATAGTTGTAGTACATCTGGAGTGTTGGAACTAGTTCTATAGTGGTAGACAGAACAGTTCTATAGTAGTAGACAGAACAGTTCTATAGTTGTAGACAGAACAGTTATATAGTAGTAGACAGAACAGTTCTATAGGAGTAGACAGAACAGTTCTATAGTAGTAGACAGAACAGTTCTATAGTAGTAGACAGAACAGTTCTATAGGAGTAGACAGAACAGTTCTATAGTAGTAGACAGAACAGTTCTATAGTAGTAGACAGAACAGTTCTATAGTAGTAGACAGAACAGTTCTATAGTAGTAGACAGAACAGTTCTATAGGAGTAGACAGAACAGTTCTATAGTGGTAGACAGAACAGTTCTATAGTAGTAGACAGAACAGTTCTATAGTAGTAGACAGAACAGTTCTATAGGAGTAGACAGAACAGTTCTATAGGAGTAGACAGAACAGTTCTATAGTTGTAGACAGAACAGTTTTATAGTGGTAGACAGAACAGTTCTATAGTGGTAGACAGAACAGTTCTATAGTAGTAGACAGAACAGTTCTATAGGAGTAGACAGAACAGTTCTATAGTTGTAGACAGAACAGTTTTATAGTGGTAGACAGAACAGTTCTATAGTGGTAGACAGAACAGTTCTATAGTAGTAGACAGAACAGTTCTATAGTGGTAGACAGAACAGTTCTATAGTAGTAGACAGAACAGTTCTATAGGAGTAGACAGAACAGTTCTATAGTGGTAGACAGAACAGTTCTATAGGAGTAGACAGAACAGTTCTATAGTAGTAGACAGAACAGTTCTATAGGAGTAGACAGAACAGTTCTATAGTAGTAGACAGAACAGTTATATAGTAGTAGACAGAACAGTTCTATAGTGGTAGACAGAACAGTTCTATAGTTGTAGACAGAACAGTTCTATAGTAGTAGACAGAACAGTTCTATAGGAGTAGACAGAACAGTTCTATAGGAGTAGACAGAACAGTTCTATAGTTGTAGACAGAACAGTTCTATAGTGGTAGACAGAACAGTTCTATAGTTGTAGACAGAACAGTTCTATAGTAGTAGACAGAACAGTTCTATAGTAGTAGACAGATCAGTTATATAGTAGTAGACAGAACAGTTCTATAGTAGTAGACAGAACAGTTCTATAGTGGTAGACAGAACAGTTCTATAGGAGTAGACAGAACAGTTCTATAGTAGTAGACAGAACAGTTTTATAGTGGTAGACAGAACAGTTCTATAGTAGTAGACAGAACAGTTCTATAGGAGTAGACATAACAGTTCTATAGGAGTAGACAGAACAGTTCTATAGTAGTAGACAGAACAGTTCTATAGTAGTAGACAGAACAGTTCTATAGTAGTAGACAGAACAGTTCTATAGTGGTAGACAGAACAGTTCTATAGTAGTAGACAGAACAGTTATATAGTAGTAGACAGAACAGTTCTATAGTAGTAGACAGAACAGTTCTATAGTGGTAGACAGAACAGTTCTATAGTAGTAGACAGAAAAGTTCTATAGTAGTAGACAGAACAGTTCTATAGTAGTAGACAGAACAGTTCTATAGTAGTAGACAGAACAGTTCTATAGTAGTAGACAGAACAGTTCTATAGTGGTAGACAGAACAGTTCTATAGTAGTAGACAGAACAGTTCTATAGTAGTAGACAGAACAGTTCTATAGTAGTAGACAGAACAGTTCTATAGGAGTAGACAGAACAGTTCTATAGTAGTAGACAGAACAGTTCTATAGGAGTAGACATAACAGTTCTATAGGAGTAGACAGAACAGTTCTATAGTGGTAGACAGAACAGTTTTATAGGAGTAGACAGAACAGTTCTATAGTAGTAGACAGAACAGTTCTATAGTAGTAGACAGAACAGTTCTATAGGAGTAGACAGAACAGTTCTATAGTAGTAGACAGAACAGTTCTATAGTTGTAGACAGAACAGTTCTATAGTAGTAGACAGAACAGTTCTATAGTAGTAGACAACAGTTCTATAGGAGTAGACAGAACAGTTCTATAGTAGTAGACAGAACAGTTCTATAGTAGTAGACAGAACAGTTCTATAGTAGTAGACAGAACAGTTCTATAGGAGTAGACAGAACAGTTCTATAGTAGTAGACAGAACAGTTCTATAGGAGTAGACAGAACAGTTCTATAGTAGTAGACAGAACAGTCAGTCCTAGCAGGCCAGCTACTGAGGCAATAGACCAACTCAGTTTCTCCTTTTTCTCCCTGAAGTAGGAACTCATTCACTCCCCCTACCGGATTGTCCAAAACATTGGATTGGTGCGTCTGTGTGTTACAGTGTGAAGGTGCCTACTCCATAACAGTGGATTGGTGTGTCTGTTTGTAACAGTGTGAAGGAGCCTACTCCATAACAGTGGATTGGTGTGTCTGTGTGTGTTACAGTGTGAAGGAGCCTACTCCATAACAGTGGATTGGTGTGTCTGTGTGTAACAGTGTGAAGGAGCCTACTCCATAACAGTGGATTGGTGTGTCTGTGTGTGTTACAGTGTGAAGGAGCCTACTCCATAACAGTGGTAGAACACATAGACGTGTCTTCTGAAGGGGTCCACTATGAGGTAGGAGAACGACTGATCCTCTCTTTCTCTAGCTGGGTAACACACACCTGATGAATCCTGCAGAGAACACACACCCCCCCACACACACCATCACAACCACACCACCACAACACACACACACCCCAACACACCCCAAACCAACCACACCAAACACCACACAACCCACCCCCCCACACAAAACACCAAAACCAACAACAAACCACACCACACATAGGTGAGAAAAAGGAAAGTCTCTCCTCTCTCTATATATATATATATAGCGGGGTAATGATAAATTTTAATAAAACAATAGTCTGTTACCAGGCAGAAAAACTTGATGACAGTAAAAAAAAACCCAATGATCCCCTTTTGGCTCTCTGGATTTTCAAAAACACTGGAAAAAAAAAAAACACACCATCACCACATCCCCATCTACTTTTTTAACTGAAAGGGGGGGGACCAGGGGGTGTTGGGGGTTGGGGGGGGAGGGTAGGGGGGGGGGGTTTTTGGGGGGGGTTTTGGGTTTGGGGGGGGGTTGGGGGGGGGGGGTGAGGTTTGGGGGGGGGGAGGTGGGGGAGGTGGGGTTTTGGGGGGGGTTTAGGGGGGGTTGGGGGGGGTTTGGGGGGGGGGTTTTTTTTTTTTTGGGGGGGGGGGGGGAGGGGGGGATGGGGGGGGGGGGGGGTTTGGGGGGGGGGGTATGGGTTGGGGGGGTGGCGAGGTGGGGAGGGGGGTTTTTGGGTGGTAGGGGGGGTTTTTGGGAGGGGGGTTTTGGGGGTTTGGGGTAGGGGGTGGGGGGGGGGGGTTTTTGGGTTTTTGGGGGGGGGGGGTTGGGTGGGAAGGGGTTTGGGTTTTTTTTAGGGCGGGTTTGTGGTGTATGGTTGTGGTTGTATTGTGGGGGTGGGGGGGGATGGGTTTTTTGGGGTTTTTGGGGTATGGTTTTTGTTGGTTTTTATGGTTTGGGGGGTTTTTGTGGTGGGGGTAGGGGGGTGTTGGTTGTTTTGGTTGGGGGGGGGGGGGGTGGGGGGTTTTTGGGGGGAGGGGGGGGGGGATGGGTGGGGGGGGGGGTGGGGGGGGGGAGGTGGGAGGGGGGAGGGGGGGGGTGTTGGGGTTTTGGGTGGAGGTGGGGGGGTTTTGGGGGTTTTTAGGGTGGGGGGGGGGGGGGTGGGGGGGGGGGGATGGGGGGTGGGGGGGGGGGGGAGGGGTGGGTGGAGGGGGAGGGTGGGGGTCAGGGGGTGAGGTTTGCAAACGGGGGGGGGGTGGTGGGGGATGGGGCGAGTGGGGGGTTTTTAGGGTTTTTGGGGTGGTTGTTAGGTTGGGGGAGGTGGGGTGGTGGTGGTGTTTGGTTGTGTTGGAGTGTGTGGGAAGTGGTGGTGGTTTTGGTGTAGGGTGGTGGTGTTGGTGGGGTTGTTAGGTTGGGGGTTGGTGGATGGGTGTTTTTGGGCGGGGGGGTTGAATGGTGGGGTTGGTGTGGGGTAGGGTGTTGTGTGGTGGGGGTTATGGGGGCAATTTTTGGGGTGGGTATGGTTGTTGGGTTTTGTTATTGGGGGTGTGGTTGAGGGTGGGGGAAAGGTTGTGGGGTGTATGGTGGGGTTTGTAGGTGGGTATGGGGGTATGGTGGTTATGGTGGGAGGTTGGTTGTGTTGTCTGGCGTTTGGTTGTGGATTGGTTGGTTTTGGTATATGGTGGATTGTGGGTATGGTTTTTTGGGGGTTGTGTTTAGCTGTCGGTTTTTGGGTGTTTTGGGTGTTGGTTGGGGGTTTTATGGTGGGGGTTTGGGGTTTGTTGGTGTTTTTGGGGGTTTGGTGTATTGTTTTGGTGTGGTGGGGAGGGGTGGTTGTGTTGGTTGTGGTTTTGGTGGGTGTTATAGGGTGGGGTGTTGTTTTGGTTGGTGTTGGGTGTGGTGTATGGGGGTTTGGGTTTGGTGTATGGGTTGTATGGGTTGTGTGGGTTGTTGGTTGGTTTTTTGTAGGGTTGTTTGGTGTGTAGGGGGTGTATGGTTTTTGGTGTATGGTTTTTGGGTTTGGTTGGTGTTTTTGGGTGTGGTGTATGGGGGGTTTGGTGTATGGTTTTGGTTTTGGGGTTGTTTGGGTTTGTGGATGGTGTGGTGGGGTTTTGGTATGGTGTTGGTGTTGTTATGGGTGGTGGTGTATGGTTTTGGTGTTTTTGGTGTGTTGGGTGGGGGTGTTTTTGGTGTGGTTTTGGTATATGGTTTTTGGGTGTATGGTGTGGTTGTGTGGTGTTTTGGTGGGTTGTATGTGTGGTGTATGGTGTGGTGTATGGTTTGTGTTGGTGGTTGGTTGGGTTGGGTGTGGTGTTGGTGTGGTTAAATGGTGTAGGTGTGGTGCTTGTGTGGGGTATGGTTTGTGGGTGTATGGGGTGGTGTTTTATGGGGTGTATGGGTGGGGTTGGTTGGTGTTGGAGGTGGTGGGGTATGGTGGGGGGGTTTGGGTGGGGTGGTTATGGTGGTTGGTGGTTGGGGGTTATGGTGTTTTGGTGTGGTTGTTTGGTGTGGTGTTATGGTGTGGTGTTTTATGGTGTGGTTGTATGGGGGGTTTTTGGTGTGGTTATTGTGGTTTTTGTTGTGGTAGGGGTGTGGGTTTGTTGGTTTGGTTGGGTTTTGGGGTTGGGGTTTTGGGGTTTTTTGGGTATGGTGGGGTGTTTTTTGGTGGTGGTGGTTGGGTTGGTGTTTGGTGTTGGGGGGATGGTGTGGGTGGTTGGGGTGGGTGTTGGGGTTGGTTGTTGTATGGGGTGTTTTGGTGGGGTGTGGGTATGGTGGGGTTGGTGGTTGGGGTGGTGGTGTGGTGGTTGGGGGTTTGGTTTGGTTTATGGTGTTGGGGTATGGTGTTGTGTTGGTTTGGTGTTTTGGGTTGGGGGTTTGTTGTAGGTGTGGTGTATGGTTTGGGGTTTTGTTGTTTTGGTGTGGGTATGGTGTGGTGTTGGTGTGGGTGTGTATGGTTGGGGTTGTTGTATGGTTTCCTTTGGGTTTGTGGTTGTTGGTGTGGTGTATGGGTGTGGTGGGGTGTTATGGTGGTTTGGTGTGTTTTTGGTGGGTCTGTGGGAGGGTGTTTGTGTTGTGGTGTGGTGGGATGGTGGTGTGTTGGTGTGGTTGGGTATGGGGGTGGGAGGGTGGTGTATGGTGTGTGTATGGTGTGGTGTATGGTGTGTGTATGGTGTGGGTATGGTGTGGTTGGGTGGTTGGTGTATGGTGTTGTTGGTGGTGTATGGTGTTTTGTATGTTTGGGGCTGTTGTATAGTGTTGGGTGGGGTATGGGTGTGTATGTTGGTGGGGATGGTGTGTGTATGGTGTATTTAAAATATGGGCCTGTGTGTCTGGTGTAAGGGTGTGTTGTCTCGTATGGTGTGTTTGTGTGTATGGTGTGTGTGTAGGGTGTGGTGTATGGTGTGTGTATGGTGTGTGTGTATGATGTGTGTGTGTGTGTATGGTGTGTGTACGGTGTGTGTATGGTGTGTGTGTGTATGGTGTGTGTATGGTGTGTGTTTGTATGGTGTGTGTGTACGGTGTGTGTTGTTACCTGACCAGGTCCCTATAAATTGTTCTAGTGGTTTCTATGTAGGGGTTGATGGTATCTTCATACTGACACAGCTCTCCTCCCAGAGTCACGTGTTTAAACAGAAGGAACAGAAACTCTCTCCTCTCCATCACTCCATACTCCTCACTGTCATCCTCATGTAGCATCTACACACGCACACACAGTCACACAGTCACACAGTGACACAGTCACACAGTAACACAGTCACACAGTAACACAGTAACACAGTAACACAGTCACACAGTAACACAGTAACACAGTCACACAGTAACACAGTCACACAGTAACACAGTCACACAGTAACACAGTCACACAGTCACACAGTCACACAGTAACACAGTCACACAGTGACACAGTGACACAGTCACACAGTAACACAGTCACACAGTGACACAGTGACACAGTCACACAGTAACACAGTCACACAGTCACACAGTAACACAGTCACACAGTCACACAGTCACACAGTAACACAGTAACACAGTCACACAGTCACACAGTAACACAGTAACACAGTGACACAGTAACACAGTAACACAGTAACACAGTCACACAGTGACACAGTGACACAGTAACACAGTAACACAGTCACACAGTCACACAGTAACACAGTAACACAGTAACACAGTCACACAGTAACACAGTCACACAGTCACACAGTCACACAGTAACACAGTAACACAAAATGCATAAGACATTATGATAGCATAATAGGAGCATAATGACCTTTTTAAGTTGCAGAAATGCCATTAACGTGTGCGTGTTGTGTGTTTGTGAAGGTGTGTTTGTCATGGTGTGCATATGTTACCTGTCTCAGTAGGTCGTAGTCAGGGTGTGTGTCATGGAAACATTTGATGATGTGTCCAGAGCGTGTGACGATTCCACTGGAGTAGAGAGGGTCAAACATCTCCATGCTGACCTGACTGCACGGCACTACCTCTGCCTGCACACACACCACCTCACTCTCTGGAACACACACACACACCACCTCACTCTCTGGAACACACACACACACCACCTCACTCTCTGGAACACACACACACACCACCTCACTCTCTGGAACACACACACACACCACCTCACTCTCTGGAACACACACACACACTGTACTGTACTGATGCTATTTTGTGTTTTTTACGCTGATCAGAACTTTATTTTTACATAACGTCTCCGTCATCATTTCCTATGACCGAAAACAGCTTCTGGACATCAGAACAGCGATCACTAACCTCCATTTAGATGAAGATTTCTACTTCAACGAGTCGGCAGCTCTGAATGTTCTGCTTACCCCGGACCAGGCCCTGATCCCGGGACTCAAAAGAGGAAGCGGGCTTACCCCGGCCCAGGCCCTGATATCGGGACTCGAAAGAGGAAGCGGGCTTACCCCGGACCAGAACCTGATCCCGGGACTCGAAAGAGGAAGCGGCAGCGAAAGAGGCAAGCAAGGCCGCGTCAAGACAAGACTACATCGGCGAGCATCTAGACCACCATTGCCCTCTGTTTTGTTGAAAAAAAAAACTGGTTGAGCTCCGTTCCAGACTATCTTATCAACGGGACCTGAAAAACTGTAATCTCCTATGTTTCTTGGAGTCGTGCCTGAACGAGGACATGGATGTACAACATGCCAGTTTTTCTATGCATCGTCAAGATGGTGAAGACCAGACGGCAGACTCGGGTAAGGCTAGAGGGGGGGTGTTCCTCTTTGTTAACAACAGCTAATGTTAAGGAAGTCTTTACTTTTTTCCTCGCCTGAGTTAGAATACCTCATGATAAGCTGCAGACCAAACTATTTACCAACATTTACATTTACATTTATGTCATTTAGCAGACGCTCTTATCCAGAGCGACTTACAAATTGGTGCATTCACCTTATAGCCAGTGGGATAACCACTTTACAATATTTTATTTTAGAAGGATTACTTTATCCTATCCCAGGTGTTCCTTAAAGAGGTGGGGTTTCAAGAGAGTTTTCAGATATATTTTTCGTAGCGGTCTATTTACCACCACAAACCGATGCTGGCACTAAGACTGCACTCAACCAGCTGTATAGGGCCATAAGCAAACAAGAAAATGCACATTCAGAGGCGGCGTTTCTCGTGGCTGGTGATTTTAATGCAGGAAAACTGAAATCCGTTTTACCTCATTTTCCCCAGCATGTCACCTGTGCAACTAGAGGTGACAAAAGTCTAGATCAGCTTTACTCTACACACAGAAGTGCATACAAGGCCCTTCCTCGCCTTCCCTTCGGCAAATCAGACCATAACGCTATTCTCCTGATTCCTGCTTACAAACAAAAACTCAAACGGATAGTACTGGAAGTGGTGCGACGACAGGACTGTTTTGCTAGCACAGACTGGAATATGTTTTTCAGGATTAATCCGATAATATTTACCACATCATTCACCGGCTTCATTAATAAGTGCATCGACGACATTGTCTCCACAGTGACTGTACGTACAGTGGGGAGAACAAGTATTTGATACACTGCCGATTTTGCAGGTTTTCCTACTTACAAAGCATGTAGAGGTCTGTAATTTTTATCATAGGTACACTTCAACTGTGAGAGACGGAATCTAAAACCAAAATCCAGAAAATCACATTGTATGATTTTAAAGTAATTAATTAGCATTTTATTGCATGACATAAGTATTTGATCACCTACCAACCAGTAAGAATCCCGGCTCTCACAGACCTGTTAGTTTTTCTTTAAGTAGCCCTCCTGTTCTCCACTCATTACCTGTATTAACTGCACCTGTTTGAACTCGTTATCTGTATAAAAGACACCTGTCCACACACTCAATCAAACAGACTCCACAATGGCCAAGACCAGAGAGCTGTGTAAGGACATCAGGGATAAAATTGTAGACCTGCACAAGGCTGGGATGGGCTACAGGACAATAGGCAAGCAGCTGGTGAGAAGGCAACAACTGTTGGCGCAATTATTCGAAAATGGAAGAAGTTCAAGATGACAGTCAATCACCCTCGGTCTGGGGCTCCATGCAAGATCTCACCTCGTGGGGCATCAATGATCATGAGGAAGGTGAGGGATCAGCCCAGAACTACACGGCAGGACCTGGTCAATGACCTGAAGAGAGCTGGGACCACAGTCTCAAAGAAAACAATTAGTAACACACTACGCCGTCATGGATTAAAATCCTGCAGCGCACGCAAGGTCCCCCTGCTCAAGCCAGCGCATGTCCAGGCCCGTCTGAAGTTTGCCAATGACCATCTGGATGATCCAGAGGAGGAATGGGAGAAGGCCATGTGGTCTGATGAGACAAAAATAGAGCTTTTTGGTCTAAACTCCACTCGCCGTATTTGGAGGAGGAAGAAGGATGAGTACAACCCCAAGAACACCATCCCAACCGTGAAGCATGGAGGTGGAAACATCATTCTTTGGGGATGCTTTTCTGCAAAGGGGACAGGACGACTGCACCGTATTGAGGGGAGGATGGATGGGGCCATGTATCACGAGATCTTGGCCAACAACCTCCTTCCCTCAGTAAGAGCATTGAAGATGGGTCGTGGCTGGGTCTTCCAGCATGACAACGACCCGAAACACACAGCCAGGGCAACTAAGGAGTGGCTCCGTAAGAAGCATCTCAAGGTCCTGGAGTGGCCTAGCCAGTCTCCAGACCTGAACTCAATAGAAAATCTTTGGAGGGAGCTGAAAGTCCGTATTGCCCAGCGACAGCCCCTAAACCTGAAGGATCTGGTGAAGGTCTGTATGGAGGAGTGGGCCAAAATCCCTGCTGCAGTGTGTGCAAACCTGGTCAAGACCTACAGGAAACGTATGATCTCTGTAATTGCAAACAATGGGTTCTGTACCAAATATGAAGTTCTGCTTTTCTGATGTATCAAATACTTATGTCATGCAATAAAATGCAAATTAATTACTTAAAAATCATACAATGTGAAGTGTACCTATGATAAAAATTACAGACCTCTACATGCTTTGTAAGTAGGAAAACCTGCAAAATCGGCAGTGTATCAAATACTTGTTCTCCCCACTGTACATACCCCTACCAGAAGCCATGGATTGCAGGCAACAGCCGCACTGAGCTAAAGGTTAGAGCTGCCGCTTTCAAGGAGCGGGACATTAATCCGGACGATTATAAGAAATTACACTACGACCTCCGACAAGCTTCAAACAGGCAAAGCATCAATACAGGACTAAGATCGAATCCTACTACGCCATTTCTGACGCTCGACAAACTATCACGGATTACAAAGGGAAACCCAGCAGTGAGCTGCCCAGCGACACGAGCCTACCAGATGAGTTAAATGCCGTCTATGCTTGTTTCGAGGCAAACAACACTGAACCATGCATGAGAGCACCAGCTGTTCCGGACGACTGTGTGATCTTGCTCTCCGTAGCCGATGTGAGTAAGACCTTTAAACTGGTTAACATTCACAAGGCCGTGGGATCAGACGGAATACCAGGACACGTACGCCGAGCATACGACGAACATCTTGCAAGTGTCTTCACAGATTACTTTTTCTCCCCAATTTCGATCTTGAGAGGCGAAGGTCGAGTCATGCGTCCTCTGAAACATGACTCGCCAAACCGCGCTTCTTAACACCAGCCCGCTTAACCCGGAAGCCAGCCGCTTTCACTGACATTTTCAACCTCTGAACCGTATGGCTACCCCTACCCTGGCCACCAGCTCTGCACCCTCCGCTGCAACTTGCCCATGCCCCATAGAGATAGATATGGTAGAGGACACCCCATAGAGATAGATATGGTAGAGGACACCCCATATAGATAGATATGGTACAGTACACCCCATATAGATAGATATGGTAGAGGACACCCCATAGACCTGCAGCTGAGAGAGGTAGAACTAAAGGCAAAATGGGAACAACATAAATTTGAGCTTGACCACAAGGGAAAGAGAACATACAGCCAGACTACAACAACAACAATTTGCACATGCCATTCGACTGAAAGAGAGAGATCTGGAAGTACTCCGAATCAAGTCAGGCCGTTCTGCACCCTCAACAGTTTGATCTTGGTCGGAACAGCCGGCTTGTACCGCCTTTCAACAAAAAGATGGATGTATATTTTACTATGAGTGGATTGCCACATCCCTAAAATGGTCGCAAGATATTTGGTCACTGCTCATCCAAAGCGTTCTTGGGGGAAAAGTTCAGAAAGTGTACGCCGCTTTATCTCTTGACCAGAGTTCAGTTTATGACACTGTTAAAGCTGCTATCCTTCAGGCTTATGAGTTGGTCCCAGAGGCATACAGACAACAGTTCCGTAAATTACAAAGACAGAATCACAAAGCCATGTTGCGTTCGCAAGGGAACAAGCATGTCTTTTTGATCGGTGGTGTGGTTCTCAAGAGGTCAAGGACCTTGAGGATTTAAAGACACTCATACTTCTCGAGCAGTTAAAAAATTGCCTTCACAAGAGGGTTGCTACCTACATTTATGAGCACAAGGATCTCACTCCTGAGAAAGCTGCAATTCTTTGAGTTTGTGTTGACACGTAACTACCTTCACAAAGAAAGCACCCAGTAGTTATCCCTACGCAAAAAGTAATCTAGAGAAGTCACCTCCTACGGCGAGGTTTCAATCATTTTCTACTGTGCCCAAAGATAAAGATCGGCAGAAAACAACTGTTTTTTTGTATCCGCCAGTTTGTCATTACTGCCGTGAGAAAGGATACATTGTCTCTCAGTGTAATAAGTTGAAAGAGAAAAAGCAATTTCTTGCTGTGGGAGCACTCCAGCCCATTACGTCTCTGGTTGGGACTGGTGTATCTGCTCAACAAGATTTTGGATCAGATGTGCATGAACCCTTTGTTTCAGACTGTTACGGATACAGGTATCCTGTGTTTTTGTGTGTTTCTACTCTGTCTGCCCTAATCACAGGTGTCCTGTATGTTCCTGATTGGTGGTCGTGGAGGTGTCTGCTGATTGGACCAATCAGTGAACATTCCTGTGAATTGCACCACTAAGCTAGAGGTAGAACTGGAGACGCGTAGGCTTGATCAAGAACTGGAGACGCGTAGGCTTGATCAAGAACTGGAGACGCGTAAGATGGAACTGGAGGTGCGTAAAATGGAACTGGAGGCAGAAACAGCGAGGTTAGTCTCTGCTCATACTATGCCTGCTAGTGAGCCATCCTCACCAGCTGTGTCGGCTGCTACGTTTGATATTAGTAGGCAGATCACCTTGGTACCTGTGTTCAGGGAGTCAGAGGTTGATTCCTATTTCAGTGTGTTTGAACGGATAGCGGTAGCATTGAAATGGCCCGAAGAGGTATGGTGCCTATTACTTCAGTGTAAACTAACAGGTAAAGCTCAAGAGGTTCTGGCAGCGCTACCTCTTGAAGACAGTTTGAATTATGAAGTGGTCAAAGCTACTGTTCTTCGTGCCTATGAGCTTGTTCCTGAGGCATATCGACAGAGATTTAGGTCTCATAAAAAGTCTCCTACTCAGACTTATGTGGAGTTTGCTAGAGACAAAGGAAATCTGTTTGACAAATGGCACAGTGCTAGTAAGGTAACTGATTTTAACTCTCTACGGGAGTTAATCTTGTTAGAAGAGTTAAAAAATTGCTTACCGGAACGCATTGTAGTTTATCTGAACGAACAGAAAGTATCCTCACTGTCGGAAGCGTCTGTATTGGCAGACGAGTTTGTGTTGATGCATAAGAGCGTGTTTTCGGCTCGTACGGAGAGCAGGGCTGCGGAGTTGCTAACTTTTAGTCCTAGTCGACCAGCAGTACATCCAGCACGCCCAAAAGATGTGCGTCACTGTTTCTATTGTCATAAGGTGGGACATATGGTTAATGATTGCTTTCTGCTAAAACGCAAACCGGGGATGCCTCAGCACGCCAGGCCGCCAACGGGTGTTGGGCTGATTCGTACAGTTGTAAGGCCGGAATCAAGACAGGAGCCTCATAGTGAATGTGGTTTGAAAGTCCCTGTCCCAGATCACAGTTATGAACCGTTCATTTTTGAGGGGTTTGTTTCTATATCAGATGACGAAGCGTCTCAGCGTCCAGTTAGAATCCTCAGAGATACTGGTGCGGCGCAGTCGTTCATACTCGCTGATGTGTTGCCCTTGTCCAGTAATACATATTGTGGTTCCAGTGTGTTAGTACAAGGTATTGAAATGGGATTTGTCCCAGTGCTATTGCACTTTGTGAACGTACACTCTGAGTTAGTCAGTGGATTGTTCAGAGTTGGCGTACGTCCTATGTTGCCAGTAAAAGGTGTGACATTTATAATGGGCAACGATATTGCCGGAGGAAAGGTGATACCCGTATTAGAGGTATTGGATAAAAGTGACCAGGCTCTCTCCGAGGAGCTGGCACAGGGTTATCCAGATGTGTTCCCCGCTTGTGCTGTCACACGTGCTCAAGCACGACAAGTGGGGGAAGTGATAGATTTGTCGAACACGATTCTATTCAGAGAGTGTGACCCAGAGGATAGTTCGGGTGCTACCTCTGGTAAGCTGGTGCAGTCTGACCAACAGCCCAGAGAAAAGAAGAAGGATGTGGAACTTGTTGCTGAGGCAATACAGTTACCAGTTACTCGTGAGCAGCTGATCGCTAACCAACAGGTTGACATTAGCCTGGCTAAATGTTTTTCTAATGTTGTCTCAGAGGACGAGCTAAAGAAGAAAAACATGGCATATTTCATTGATGGTAATCTCCTCATGCGTAAATGGACATCCCATGTTGACGCTGGCGAAGATTGGAATGCTGTTTACCAAATAGTGATTCCTACAGCCTTTCGACAAAATGTTTTATCCCTCGCTCATGATCACCAGTGGTCCGGACATCTGGGAGTCACCAAGACTTATGATCGTGTTTTGCGACATTTCTTTTGGCCTGGCTTAAAAAAAGATGTGGCTCAGTTCTGTCGGACTTGCCACACCTGTCAAGTAGTTGGGAAACCGAACCAGGTTATTTCCCCCGCGCCTCTTTGTCCCATACTGGCCATAGGTGAACCATTCGAACATGTGATGGTTGATTGTGTTGGACCATTACCAAAAACAAAATCTGGTAACCAGTTTATGTTGACAATTATGTGTGTGGCCACCAGGTACCCAGAGGCCATTCCTCTGCGAAGGATTACTGCTCCGGTGGTGAGTAAAGCGTTGATCAAATTCTTCTCAACTTTTGGATTACCTAAGGTGATACAAACTGATCAGGGTACGAATTTCCTTTCTAAACTTTTCAAACAAGTGTTAAAATCCTTGTCAGTTACACACCGTGTGTCAAGCGCATATCACCCAGAGTCTCAGGGTGCGCTTGAACGTTGGCATCAGACACTGAAGTCTATGCTCCGTAAATATTGCTTGGAATCTGAGAAAGATTGGGATGAGGGAGTTCCTCTAGTGTTGTTTGCTGTCCGTGAGACAGTACAGGAATCTCTAGGGTTCAGCCCAGCTGAACTGGTGTTTGGACACACCATGAGAGGACCTATGAAAGTCCTTAAGGATCAGTTTTTGTCACAAGAGTTGTGTGTGAAAGAAAATGTGTTGGCAGATGCTTTGTCTCGTGTGTAATGATCTAGGTTTTTTTTTGTTATCCCGGCAGGATGATTTGTGAATTTGGGTGTTGTGATAGTACGTGTGTCGCAAACCATTGTGGTTTGCTCTTTTAAGGGTGGGAGTGTTACGGATACAGGTATCCTGTGTTTTTGTGTGTTTCTACTCTGTCTGCCCTAATCACAGGTGTCCTGTATGTTCCTGATTGGTGGTCGTGGAGGTGTCTGCTGATTGGACCAATCAGTGAACATTCCTGTGAATTGCACCACCTGTTACTCGTTTGTTCAATCACACATCCCATTTTATAAAAACCAGACTTGTGTTTGTTGCAAGAGAGAGAGACTTTTTCCATATGTGAGTATGGACACGGTGGTGTCCTGTGTGTTGTGTACTCACTAAGTTGTTGGTTACCCTGTTGGTAACTTTATTAGAAACTATTTCTTTACCTGAGTGTGGATACTGTTGTGTCCTGTGTGGTGTGTACTTATTTAATTGCTGATTACCCTGTTTGGTAGCTTTGTGTGTTTCTGGGAAAAGGGGAGTTTAAGCTAGTTGCCCTTGGGCGTACATTACCCGTAGGAAGAAAGCTGTCTAAAAACACTAGTTAGACCTGAGCGGACCACCCACTGTATTTTTGTATGGTAGCAGTAGCCTAGCGGTTCTTGAGGCAGGCAAGATCAGTTTAGGGGGTTTTACACTATTGTTTCATTTCTTGGGTCCTGCTCAGCCCTTTTTCCCAAACCTTTACCGTGTGTTTAGTAATAAACCATTTATGTTTGACGGTAGTTCATGGTTGTTGTGTCATTTTTGGTTCTCACTGTTCCAGGTCACACTTATAATTTGCATAATTTATGTTACGGGTCTCATGTCCATCCACCCTAGACGTTTAGAGCCACGGGGTTCGTAACACAGACGCGTTGGTGTCTCTGCAGAGTGGTGATTCTGTTAAGCAGCCGGTGAAGATACTGGGAGACACTGGGGCAGCGCTTCATGTTGGAGGGTGTTTTGCCTTTGCCTGACACTTCAGTAACTAGTTACAGTGTGTTAGTGCAAGGCGTGGAGATGGGTTGCATGGAAGTTCCTTTGTATAATGTGGAACTCTAGTCTGGTCTTATTTCTGGTTCCGTTGTCGTTGGAGTGAGGCTTAGCCTACCGGTGAAGGGCTCTCATTCATTTTGGGAAATTATTTGGCTGGAGGGAAGGTTGTGCCAAATCCTGTCGTTTGTAAGGAACCCAGAGCAGAGGAACCTGATGGGTTATCAGAAAAGTACCCTAGACTGTTCCCAGAGCAGAGGAACCTGATGGGTTATCAGTAAAGTACCCTAGACTGTTCCCAGAGCAGAGGAACCTGATGGGTTATCAGTAAAGTACCCTAGACTGTTCCCAGAGCAGAGGAACCTGATGGGTTATCAGTAAAGTACCCTAGACTGTTCCCAGAGCAGAGGAACCTGATGGGTTATCAGTAAAGTACCCTAGACTGTTCCCAGAGCAGAGGAACCTGATGGGTTATCAGTAAAGTACCCTAGACTGTTCCCAGAGCAGAGGAACCTGATGGGTTATCAGTAAAGTACCCTAGACTGTTCCCAGAGCAGAGGAACCTGATGGGTTATCAGTAAAGTACCCTAGACTGTTCCCAGAGCAGAGGAACCTGATGGGTTATCAGTAAAGTACCCTAGACTGTTCCAAGAGCAGAGGAACCTGATGGGTTATCAGTAAAGTACCCTAGACTGTTCCCAGAGCAGAGGAACCTGATGGGTTATCAGTAAAGTACCCTAGACTGTTCCCAGAGCAGAGGAACCTGATGGGTTATCAGTAAAGTACCCTAGACTGTTCCCAGAGCAGAGGAACCTGATGGGTTATCAGTAAAGTACCCTAGACTGTTCCCAGAGCAGAGGAACCTGATGGGTTATCAGTAAAGTACCCTAGACTGTTCCCAGAGCAGAGGAACCTGATGGGTTATCAGTAAAGTACCCTAGACTGTTCCCAGTGCAGAGGAACCTGATGGGTTATCAGTAAAGTACCCTAGACTGTTCCCAGAGCAGAGGAACCTGATGGGTTATCAGTAAAGTACCCTAGACTGTTCCCAGTGTGTGCCTTTACACGTGCTATGTCTAAGAAAGTCGCAGGGAGCAAGTCTAGTGTTGAGGATGTCAGAGTTCCCACCATAGCAAGTCTAGTGTTGAGGATGTCAGCCATTCCACCATAACAAGTCTAGTGTTGAGGAGGATGTCAGCCATTCCACCATAGCAAGTCTAGTGTTGAGGATGTCAGAGTTCCCACCATATCAAGTCTAGTGTTGAGGAGGATGTCAGCCATCCCACCATAGCAAGTCTAGTGTTGAGGAGGATGTCAGCCATTCCACCATAGCAAGTCTAGTGTTGAGGAGGATGTCAGCCATTCCACCATAGCAAGTCTAGTGTTGAGGAGGATGTCAGCCATCCCACCATAGCAAGTCTAGTGTTGAGGAGGATGTCAGCCATTCCACCATAGCAAGTCTAGTGTTGAGGAGGATGTCAGCCATTCCACCATAGCAAGTCTAGTGTTGAGGAGGATGCCAGCCATCCCAGCATAGCAAGTCTAGTGTTGAGGAGGATGTCAGCCATTCCACCATAGCAAGTCTAGTGTTGAGGATGTCAGCCATTCCACCATAGCAAGTCTAGTGTTGAGGAGGATGCCAGCCATCCCACCATAGCAAGTCTAGTGTTGAGGAGGATGTCAGCCATCCCACCATAGCAAGTCTAGTGTTGAGGAGGATGTCAGCCATCCCAGCATAGCAAGTCTAGTGTTGAGGATGTCAGCCATTCCACCATAGCAAGTCTAGTGTTGAGGAGGATGTCAGCCATCCCACCATAGCAAGTCTAGTGTTGAGGAGGATGTCAGCCATCCCAGCATAGCAAGTCTAGTGTTGAGGAGGATGTCAGCCATTCCACCATAGCAAGTCTAGTGTTGAGGAGGATGTCAGCCATTCCACCATAGCAAGTCTAGTGTTGAGGAGGATGTCAGCCATTCCACCATAGCAAGTCTAGTGTTGAGGAGGATGCCAGCCATCCCACCATGGTCAATCTGTCAGATGTTTATTGGTGATCCTGATTTCGGTAAACCTCCTGAGTTGACCTCTCCTTTGAAAACCCCAAAGGTGAGTGAGTTTGTAGGACCGCTGAAGGAAGAGAGGGACCCTACAGTTGACACTTCCATGTCTAGGAAACAGCTGATTGCTGAACAGAGTACAGACGTTTCCCTCTCCCCTCTTTCTGCTGAGATGCGTCCAGAGGAGGAGTTTGATGAAGTTTGTGTGGGTTGAAAGTGACATGAGGAATACATTCGTGTGGGTTAAATCCAATTTAAATTCAGGCTAACAAAACAAAATGTGGAAAATGTGAAGTGGTGTGAATACTTTGTGAAGGCACTGTATGTAAGACTGCTGTTCGTTGACTACAGCTCAGCATTCAACACCATAGTCCCTCCAAGCTCACCCTAGTCCCCTCCAAGCTCATGGACTTCCTGATGGGCCGCCTCCAGGCAGTGAGGGTAGGCATCAACACATCCGCCACACTGATCCTCAACACGGGGGCCCCTCAGGGGTGCGTGCTTAGTCCCCTCCTGTACTCCCTGTTCGCCCACGACTGAGTGGCCACACATGACTCCAACACCATCATCAAGTTTGCTGATGACACAACGGTGGTAGGACTGATCACAGACAACTTTGAATCTGAGTATTTCTCCAGATCTCAGCTGTCCTGAGTCTGCACAGAACTGCCAGGGCCAAGGATCAATGGAGACAGTCAAGTTTTTTAATCCTGTATCCCTTGACACATTCGTGAAAATAGTCATGGCCTCTAAACCTTCAAGCTGCATACTGGACCCTATTCCAACTTAACTACTGAAAGAGCTACTTCCTGTGCTTGGCCCTCCTATGTTGAACATAATAAATGGCTCCCTATCCACTGGATGTGTACCAAACTCACTAAAAGTGGCAGTAATAAAGCCTCTCTTGAAAAAGCCAAACCTTGACCCAGAAAATGTAAAAAACTATTGGCCTATATCGAATCTCCCATTCCTCTCAAACGTTGTAGAAAAAGCTGTTGTGCATCAACTCACTGCCTTCCTGAAGACAAATAATGTATAAGAAACGCTTCAGTCTGGTTTTAGACCCCATCATAGCACTGAGACTGCACTCGTGAATGTGGTAAATTACCTTTTAATGGCGTCAGACAAAGGCTCTGCATCTGTCCTCGTGCTCCTAGACCTTAGTGCTGCTTTACAAGCGCCGTGCTCTACCAGCTGAGCTACAGAGTACCTGTACACAGCCCATCTGTAATTAGCCCACCCAACTACCTCATCCCTATATTGACGAACATATTAGAATATTTCAAGGACAGCTTTTTTCCATCTTCGTAACATCGCAAAAAATGATGCAGAAAAGCTCATCCATGCTTTTGTCACTTCTAGATTAGACTACTGCAATGCTCTACTCGCCGGATACCCGGATAAAGCACTAAATAAACTAGAACCAAAAAATTTGATCATATTACTCCAGTGCTAGCCTCTTTCCACTGGCTTCCTGTTAAGGCTAGGGCTGATTTCAAGGTTTTACTGCTAACCTACAAAGCATTACATGGACTTGCTCCTACCTATCTCTCCGATTTGGTCCTGCCATACATACCCACCCGTACGCTACGGTCACAAAACGCAGGCCTCCTTATTGGCCCTAGAATTTCTAAGCAAACAGCTGGAGGCAGGGCTTTCTCCTATAGAGCTCCATTTTTATGGAATGGTCTGCCTATCCATGTGAGAGACGCAGACTCAGTCTCGACCTTTAAGTCTTTACTGAATTCAGTAGGTCCTATGATTGAGTGTAGTCTGGCCCAGGGGTGTGAAGGAGAACGGAAAGGCACTGGAGCGACAAACCGCCCTTGCTGTCTCTGCCTGGCCGGCTCCCCTCCCCTCTCTCCACTGGGATTCTCTGCCTCTGACCCTGTTACGGGGGCTGAGTCACTGGCTTACTGGTGCTCTTCCATGCCGTCCCTAGGAGGGTGCATCACTTGAGTGGGTTGAGCCACTGACGTGATCTTCCTGTCCGGTTTGTCGCCCCATCGGGCTCGTGCAGTGGAGGAGATCTTCGTGGGCTATACTGAGCCTTGTCTCAGGGTAGTAGGTTGGTGGTCTGTTGATATCCCTCTGGTGGTGTGGGGGCTGTGCTTTGGCAAAGTGGGTGGGGTTATATCCTGCCTGGTTGGCCCTGTCCGGGGGTATCGTCACATTGTCTCCCGACCACCCCCTGTCTCAGCCTCCAGTATCTATGCTGCAATAGTCTATGTGCCGGGGGGCTAGGGTCAGTCTGTTTATATCTGGTGTTATTCTCCTGTCTTATCCGGTGTCCTGTGTGAATTTAAGTATGCTCCCTCTAATTCTCTCTCTCTCCCTCTCTCCCTCCCCTTCCGGAGGACTTGAGCCCTAGGACCATGCCTCAGGACTACCTGGCCTGATGACTCCTGGCTGTCCCCAGTCCACCTGGTTGTGCTGCTGCTCCAGTTTCAACTCTTCTGCTTGCAGCTATGGAACCCTGACCTGTTCACCGGACGTGCTACCTTGTCCCAGACCTGCTGTTTTCAACTCTCTCTCTCTCTACCGCACCTGCTATTTCAACCTCTAAATGCCCGGCTATGAAAAGCCAAGTGACATTTGCTCCTGATGTACTGACCTGTTGCAACCTCTACAACCACTGTGATTATTATTTGACCCTGCTGGTCATCTATGAACGTTTGAACATCTTGGAGAAAAATCTGGCCTTAATGTTATAATCTCCACCCGGCACAGCCAGAAGGGGACTGGCCACCCCTCAGAGCCTGGTTCCTCTCTACCCAGTACAGCCAGAAGAGGACTGGCCACCCCTCAGAGCCTGGTTCCTCTGGTCTACCCAGTACAGCCAGAAGAGGACTGGCCACCCCTCAGAGCCTGGTTCCTCTCTACCCAGTACAGCCAGAAGGGGACTGGCCACCCCTCAGAGCCTGGTTCCTCTCTACCCAGTACAGCCAGTAGAGGACTGGCCACCCCTCAGAGCCTGGTTCCTCTGGTCTACCCAGTACAGCCAGAAGAGGACTGGCCACCCCTCAGAGCCTGGTTCCTCTCCACCCAGTACAGCCAGTAGAGGACTGGCCACCCCTCAGAGCCTGGTTCCTCTCCACCCAGTACAGCCAGAAGAGGACTGGCCACCCCTCAGAGCCTGGTTCCTCTCTACCCAGTACAGCCAGAAGGGGACTGGCCACCCCTCAGAGCCTGGTTCCTCTCTACCCAGTACAGCCAGAAGAGGACTGGCCACCCCTCAGAGCCTGGTTCCTCTCTACCCAGTACAGCCAGTAGAGGACTGGCCACCCCTCAGAGCCTGGTTCCTCTGGTCTACCCAGTACAGCCAGAAGAGGACTGGTCACCCCTCAGAGCCTGGTTCCTCTCTACCCAGTACAGCCAGAAGAGGACTGGTCACCCCTCAAAGCCTGGTTCCTCTCTACCCAGTACAGCCAGAAGGGGACTGGCCACCCCTCAGAGCCTGGTTCCTGTCTAGGTTTCTTCCTAGAGTCCTGCCTTTCTAGGGAGTTTTTCCTAGCCACCGTGCTTCTCCATCTGCATTGCTGCTGTTTGGGGTTTTAGGCTGGGTTTCCGCATAGCACTTAGTGACATCGGCTGATGTAAAAGGGGCTTTATAAATAAAATATGATTGATTGATTGATAGATATTCACCACAGCACCATGTGGATGACAGCCCCAGCATCATATTCACCACAGCACCATGTGGATGACAGCCCCAGCATCATATTCACCACAGCACCATGTGGATGACAGCCCCAGCATCATATTCACCACAGCACCATGTGGATGACAGCCCCAGCATCATATTCACCACAGCACCATGTGGATGACAGCCCCAGCATCATATTCACCACAGCACCATGTGGATGACAGCCCCAGCATCATATTCACCACAGCACCATGTGGATGACAGCCCCAGCATCATATTCACCACAGCACCATGTGGATGACAGCCCCAGCATCATATTCACCACAGCACCATGTGGATGACAGCCCCAGCATCATATTCACCACAGCACCATGTGGATGACAGCCCCAGCATCATATTCACCACAGCACCATGTGGATGCCATCCCAGCATCATATTCACCACAGCACCATGTGGATGACCGCCCCAGCATCATATTCACCACAGCACCATGTGGATGACAGCCCCAGCATCATATTCACCACAGCACCATGTGGATGACAGCCCCAGCATCATATTCACCACAGCACCATGTGGATGACAGCCCCAGCATCATATTCACCACAGCACCATGTGGATGACCGCCCCAGCATCATATTCACCACAGCACCATGTGGATGACAGCCCCAGCATCATATTCACCACAGCACCATGTGGATGACAGCCCCAGCATCATATTCACCACAGCACCATGTGGATGACAGCCCCAGCATCATATTCACCACAGCACCATGTGGATGACAGCCCCAGCATCATATTCACCACAGCACCATGTGGATGACAGCCCCAGCATCATATTCACCACAGCACCATGTGGATGACAGCCCCAGCATCATATTCACCACAGCACCATGTGGATGACAGCCCCAGCATCATATTCACCACAGCACCATGTGGATGACAGCCCCAGCATCATCTTCACCACAGCACCATGTGGATGACAGTCATGGAGGTATGTAGTACATTCACTTAGCCCAGATGAGACTATGCTTATCTTTCCTGTTTTGCACAGAAGGAAGACAGAGACCTGAGGGAAGAAGTTAAGGTGCTAAAGAGTGGGCAAGCAGGTGAGGTTTCTAAAGGTCCGGGTGGTATCGGACGCTTGAAATGAATAACAAGATGAATACCTTGTTAGCCTATCAACAGGCCAATGGGTCGGTTGGAGATTTGTCCTTGCCTGATCTCAATCTCCCGATGGGGGACCGGCGAGGCCTGGAGCTGCTGGAGACCAGGCTGAGCCAGAACACCGAGCTGCTGGAGACCAGGCTGAGCCAGAACACCGAGCTCCAGGAGACCAGGCTGAGCCAGAACACCGAGCTCCAGGAGACCAGGCTGAGCCAGAACACCGAGCTCCAGGAGACCAGGCTGAGCCAGAACACCGAGCTCCAGGAGACCAGGCTGAGCCAGAACACCGAGCTGCTGGAGACCAGGCTGAGCCAGAACACCGAGCTCCAGGAGACCAGGCTGAGCCAGAACACCGAGCTGCTGGAGACCAGGCTGAGCCAGAACACCGAGCTGCTGGAGACCAGGCTGAGCCAGAACACCGAGCTGCTGGAGACCAGGCTGAGCCAGGACACCGAGCTGCTGGAGACCAGGCTGAGCCAGAACACCGAGCTGCTGGAGACCAGGCTGAGCCAGAACACCGAGCTGCTGGAGACCAGGCTGAGCCAGAACACCGAGCTCCAGGAGACCAGGCTGAGCCAGAACACCGAGCTGCTGGAGACCAGGCTGAGCCAGAACACCGAGCTGCAGGAGACCAGGCTGAGCCAGAACACCGAGCTCCAGGAGACCAGGCTGAGCCAGAACACCGAGCTCCAGGAGACCAGGCTGAGCCAGAACACCGAGCTCCAGGAGACCAGGCTGAGCCAGAACACCGAGCTCCAGGAGACCAGGCTGAGCCAGAACACCGAGCTCCAGGAGACCAGGCTGAGCCAGAACACCGAGCTCCAGGAGACCAGGCTGAGCCAGAACACTGAGCTGCTGGAGACCAGGCTGAGCCAGAACACCGAGCTGCTGGAGACCAGGCTGAGCCAGAACACCAAGCTGCTGGAGACCAGGCTGAGCCAGAACACCGAGCTCCAGGAGACCAGGCTGAGCCAGAACACCGAGCTCCAGGAGACCAGGCTGAGCCAGAACACCGAGCTCCAGGAGACCAGGCTGAGCCAGAACACCGAGCTGCTGGAGACCAGGCTGAGCCAGAACACCAAGCTCCAGGAGACCAGGCTGAGCCAGAACACCGAGCTCCAGGAGACCAGGCTGAGCCAGAACACCGAGCTCCAGGAGACCAGGCTGAGCCAGAACACTGAGCTCCAGGAGACCAGGCTGAGCCAGAACACCGAGCTCCAGGAGACCAGGCTGAGCCAGAACACCGAGCTCCAGGAGACCAGGCTGAGCCAGAACACCGAGCTCCAGGAGACCAGGCTGAGCCAGAACACCGAGCTCCAGGAGACCAGGCTGAGCCAGAACACCGAGCTGCTGGAGACCAGGCTGAGCCAGAACACCGAGCTCCAGGAGACCAGGCTGAGCCAGAACACCGAGCTGCTGGAGACCAGGCTGAGCCAGAACACCGAGCTGCTGGAGACCAGGCTGAGCCAGAACACCGAGCTCCAGGAGACCAGGCTGAGCCAGAACACCGAGCTCCAGGAGACCAGGCTGAGCCAGAACACCGAGCTCCAGGAGACCAGGCTGAGCCAGAACACCGAGCTCCAGGAGACCAGGCTGAGCCAGAACACCGAGCTCCAGGAGACCAGGCTGAGCCAGAACACCGAGCTCCAGGAGACCAGGCTGAGCCAGAACACCGAGCTGCTGGAGACCAGGCTGAGCCAGAACACCGAGCTCCAGGAGACCAGGCTGAGCCAGAACACCGAGCTGCTGGAGACCAGGCTGAGCCAGAACACCGAGCTCCAGGAGACCAGGCTGAGCCAGAACACCGAGCTCCAGGAGACCAGGCTGAGCCAGAACACCGAGCTCCAGGAGACCAGGCTGAGCCAGAACACCGAGCTGCTGGAGACCAGGCTGAGCCAGAACACCGAGCTGCTGGAGACCAGGCTGAGCCAGAACACCGAGCTGCTGGAGACCAGGCTGAGCCAGAACACCGAGCTCCAGGAGACCAGGCTGAGCCAGAACACCGAGCTCCAGGAGACCAGGCTGAGCCAGAACACGAGCTCCAGGAGACCAGGCTGAGCCAGAACACCGAGCTGCTGGAGACCAGGCTGAGCCAGAACACCGAGCTCCAGGAGACCAGGCTGAGCCAGAACACCGAGCTCCAGGAGACCAGGCTGAGCCAGAACACCGAGCTCCAGGAGACCAGGCTGAGCCAGAACACCGAGCTCCAGGAGACCAGGCTGAGCCAGAACACCGAGCTCCAGGAGACCAGGCTGAGCCAGAACACCGAGCTCCAGGAGACCAGGCTGAGCCAGAACACCGAGCTCCAGGAGACCAGGCTGAGCCAGAACTACGAGCTCCAGGAGACCAGGCTGAGCCAGAACACCGAGCTCCAGGAGACCAGGCTGAGCCAGAACACCGAGCTCCAGGAGACCAGGCTGAGCCAGAACACTGAGCTCCAGGAGACCAGGCTGAGCCAGAACACCGAGCTCCAGGAGACCAGGCTGAGCCAGAACACCGAGCTCCAGGAGACCAGGCTGAGCCAGAACACCGAGCTCCAGGAGACCAGGCTGAGCCAGAACACCGAGCTCCAGGAGACCAGGCTGAGCCAGAACACCGAGCTCCAGGAGACCAGGCTGAGCCAGAACACCGAGCTCCAGGAGACCAGGCTGAGCCAGAACACCGGGAGCTGCCAGAACACCGAGCTCCAGGAGACCAGGCTGAGCCAGAACACCGAGCTCCAGGAGACCAGGCTGAGCCAGAACACCGAGCTGCTGGAGACCAGGCTGAGCCAGAACACCGAGCTCCAGGAGACCAGGCTGAGCCAGAACACCGAGCTGCTGGAGACCAGGCTGAGCCAGAACACCGAGCTGCTGGAGACCAGGCTGAGCCAGAACACCGAGCTGCTGGAGACCAGGCTGAGCCAGAACACCGAGCTCCAGGAGACCAGGCTGAGCCAGAACACCGAGCTCCAGGAGACCAGGCTGAGCCAGAACACCGAGCTCCAGGAGACCAGGCTCAGCCAGAACACCGAGCTGCTGGAGACCAGGCTGAGCCAGAACACCGAGCTCCAGGAGACCAGGCTGAGCCAGAACACCGAGCTCCAGGAGACCAGGCTGAGCCAGAACACCGAGCTCCAGGAGACCAGGCTGAGCCAGAACACCGAGCTCCAGGAGACCAGGCTGAGCCAGAACACCGAGCTCCAGGAGACCAGGCTGAGCCAGAACACCGAGCTCCAGGAGACCAGGCTGAGCCAGAACACCGAGCTGCTGGAGACCAGGCTGAGCCAGAACACCGAGCTCCAGGAGACCAGGCTGAGCCAGAACACCGAGCTGCTGGAGACCAGGCTGAGCCAGAACACCGAGCTGCTGGAGACCAGGCTGAGCCAGAACACCGAGCTCCAGGAGACTCTTGGAAGTGTGCTCAGAATTTTATATAGTCATTGCTTTTCCGGGAAGGAGCAAGAGACATTCAACTTTGACCCTGTTGTTGTGACCTGACGTGACCGCAGCATGTTCTAAATTCCTCCCCTCAGAATATTAACATAAGGCATTTATATTACATGTAAATACTTATTGGAAATTTGACATTTGCCTTTACACTGTCACATTTACATTTAAGTCATTTAGCAGACGCTCTTATCCCGAGCGACTTACAGTTAGTGAATACATATTTTTTTATACTGGCCCCCCGTGGGAATCGAACCCACAACCCTGGCGTTGCAAACGCCATGCTCTATCAACTCTGTCCCTGCCGGCCATTCCCTCCCCTACCCTGGACAACGCTGGGCCAATTGTGCGCCGGCCATGAGTCTCCCGGTCGCGGCCGGCTGCGACAGAGCCTGGATTCGAACCAGGATCTCTAGTGGCACAGCTAGCACTACGATGCGGCGCCTTAGACCACTGCGCCACTCAGTCACAAATGTATACTGAGCAAAAATATAAAACGCAACATGGAACAATTTCAACGATTTTACTGACTTACAGTTCATGTAAGGAAATCAGTCAATTGAAATAAATAAATTAGGCCCTAATCTATGGATTTCACATGACTGGGCAGGAGCGTAGCCATGGGTGGGCCTGGGAGGGCATAGGCCCACCCACTGGGGAGCCAGGCCCAGCCAATCAGAATGAGTTTTTCCCCACAAAAAGGCTTTATTACAGACAGACATACTCCTCACTTTCATCAGCTGTCCGGGTGGCTGGTCTCAGACGATCCAGCAGGCGAAGAAGCCGGATGTGGAGGTCCTGGGCTGGCGTGGTGACACGTGGTCTGCGGTTGTGAGGCCGGTTGGACATACTGCCAAATTCTCTAAAACTATGTTGGAGGCGGCTTATGGCAGAGAAATTAACATTCAATTCTCTGGCAACAACTCTGGTGGACATTCCTGCAGTCAGCATGCCAATTGCACGCTCCCTCAAAACTTGAGACATCTGTGGCATTGTGTTGTGTGACAAAACTGTACATTTTAGAGTGGCCTTTTATTGTCCCCAGCACAAGGTGCAGAGAATTGAATGTTCATTTATCTACCATAAGCTGCCTCCAACGTCGTTTTAGAGAATTTGGCAGTACATCCACCCGGCCTCACAACCGCAGACCACGTGTAACCACGCCAGCCCAGGACCTCCACATCCGGCTTCATCACCTGTGGGAGCGTCAGAGAGGGGGAGGGTGCTGAGGAGTGTTCTGTCTGTAATAAAGCCCTTTTGTGGGGAAAAACTCATTCTGACTGGCTCGTTGTGGCTCCCAAGTGGGTGGACCTATGCCCTCTTAGGCCCACCGATGGCTGCGCCCCTGCCCAGTCATGTGAAATCCATAGATTAGGGCCTAATGAATTTATTTCAATTGACTGATTTCCTTATATGATCTGTAACTCAACAAAATTGTTGAAATTGTTGCATGTTGAGTTTATATTTTTGCTCAGTATAGATGCCTATAGGCTATTTTAGTTTTAACTTATTTTTTTGATCTTTATGTTCCTGTACTTGATTTAATATAGTCTTATTTTTTATTTTTAGTAAATTTACAATGTCACTTTGATTCCTTTACTATGTCACTTTTGTTGCCATTTCACTGTGTGAGAAGCCTGTCATAAAAAAATCAATATTGATTGGACTATTTATTTTTTGTCACCTCTTGATCCAGGGAACCAGGACCTCATTATGTGATATTTAGCACTCACACACGCATAATAACCTACAGTACTGGTAAACAATCACCAACCGTTTTTCAAATGGACATGGCATCAAATGTATGTTAAATAATAGAAATCGATCAAAACAAGTGGCGACAGGGAGTAGGCACGCCGCTGGCTTGACGCTGAAAACGCGTCTTGCCTCCAACTGGCAGCTGTAGTGTAGAAGGCAAGGGCTGGTGGGCTGCGTGAGGAAAACGGCACCTGAATGGCAGGAGCATGGCTGCCGCTTGACAAAGCGTCATATCGCCCAGTGAATGAGGCAACTGGCAAAAAACCTCTGGAGGGACGCAGGCCTCCCGATTGCTAACTGGGTAGAGGTGACAGATGTGACATGACATACCCAGAGTAACCCAGCTTCCAGCCTCCATCTTCCTGAGGTTGGTCAGCACACAGGGGTCTCTGAAGAAACTCTGACACACACAGACACACACACACGCACACACAGAGTTACTATTGGCCCTTTACAACGTGCAGTGCCTGGAAATGTGTGTGTGTGTGTGTGTGTGTGTACGTTAACTCACCAGTGTAAAGTCGTGGCTGTTGTATGGGTAGAAGGTCTGGTCAAAGCTGAAGGCCTGGGCTGAGATACGTCCTAGCATGGACCTGACACCCACACGAAACCATTAGCTAGTTTCACTAGAACTCTGACACACTGATATAGCTAGCTAGTTTGTCTGTCTACATAGCTGGTCGGCTAACGTTAGTAACAGTAGCTAGCTATGGTGCTGTTCATAACTATAGCTATAAACATTGACAAATAAATGACACAAAACCATAACATCTATAACGTCACCATTTCATGAGGAGTTGTAGTGTGCTTCTGTCCTGAAGGAATGGGAATGTCTTGGTCGGGAGGAGGTTGAAGGAAAACTTCGTCTCAAACGGGCTACTCTTAGATGCCATGTCCACCGTCGGGTTGTTGATGTCTATTGGTCACCATGGCGACGGACCCACTCGTCAACCTGCAGGGTGCGTTCCTACATTCACTCTGGAGCCACTCGTCAACCTGCAGGGTGCGTTCCTACATTCACTCTGGAGCCACTCGTCAACCTGCAGGGTGCGTTCCCACATTCACTCTGGAGCCACTCGTCAACCTGCAGGGTGCGTTCCTACATTCACTCTGGAGCCACTCGTCAACCTGCAGGGTGCGTTCCTACATTCACTCTGGAGCCACTCGTCAACCTGCAGGGTGCGTTCCTACATTCACTCTGGAGCCACAGGTCGCGCTGCGCATTCATAAATTCAGAGCATCCGTTTGTAAATTCAGAGCATCCGTTTGTAAATTCAGAGCATCCGTTTGTAAATTCAGAGCATCCGTTTGTAAATTCAGAGCATTTCGCTCTCAGCACACTGGATAGGGTTGATCCGAGCGTTCTGACCTCACATCAGCAGTCAAGCGCCCAAGCTAATTGGCTAACGTTGGCTAGCTTGCTAGCTACTTTCAGACACAAATGAGAGAACACTTAACCCTGTAACTCTGAGATTAACGTGTAAATCTCTCTCGGACAAGGTGATTTATCAATATATTCGCCTGTATTTGCTTGTAATTGCGGCGCCCTCTACATTGATAAGCCTATTCTTTTCCATGTTAGAGCCCTATTGGACAGGTATTACTAGAGACGTTGGTTTTGTAATTATTATCCAAGCATGTGCATTATTCCAGAGGACGATTCACACAGGATTAGTTGTTCCAAACTGCCCCCTGTAATACTTAATTTTTTCTAATTTAATTGACTCTCATGACTCTTATGATGCAAGCCTGGAGGTTTTTACTGTAAATGTTTTACATTTTAGTCATTTAGCAGACGCTCTTATCCAGAGCGACTTACAGTTAGTGAGTGCATACATTTTTCATACTGTAGGCGTGAAGTATTTCAACATCATGTCTAGACCATAATAGGCTACCCTGATAACTCGTGATCGGCTGCCAAATGTATAGGTCTCCCCATAATATTTAAATTGATGAAGTGTGATCAAAATCATTATTTTAGCAATCCATCCCATGGTAGACGTCGTTCCTAATAACAATGCCTCCTATACCTTTTTTTAAATATTTTAATTTTTTATTTTATTTATTTATTTATTTTTTGGGGGGGAATGGATCAGCTTAATATTGCAGATAGATTGTATCTTCTATCAATGTAATTGTCTGCATCACTTCCAATCCCCCATGTTTTTTTGTTTGTTTTTTTTGTGTTTTTTTAAAATATATATACTCCCCTTTATTACTTTTCAACCCCACCATCCTTTCCCTACTTGGAGTAAATTAGTGAACAACAATGCCCAGGCCTCTACTTCCGGTCTATACTTACTATCTACACCTTATGGACAGAGTTAATTTTACAATAATTATATTATATATATTTTTATTTATTTTATTTTTTATTGCTCCTGAACTTCTTCTACTCTCAACCTCTCCGATCATTTTCATGGTGTCCATCCGGTTTGCTTCTATATGCCATATCTTTCTAACTGTGCTCTTTCTTTATTTTTTTTATTTTTTTGGGGAAGGATTACTTTATCCTATCCCAGGTATTCTTTAAAGAGGTGGGGTTTCAAATGTCTCCGGAAGGTGGTGAGTGACTCCGCTGTCCTGGCGTCGTGAGGGAGCTTGTTCCACCATTGGGGTGCCAGAGCAGCGAACAGTTTTGACTGGGCTGAGCGGGAACTATGCTTCCGCAGAGGAAGGGGAGCCAGCAGGCCAGAGGTGGATGAACGCAATGCCCTCGTTTGGGTGTAGGGACTGATCAGAGCCCGAAGGTACGGAGGTGCCGTTCCCCTCACTGCTCCATAGGCAAGCACCATGGTCTTGTAACGGATGCGAGCTTCAACTGGAAGCCAGTGGAGTGTGCGGAGGAGGGGGGTGACGTGAGAGAACTTGGGAAGGTTGAACACCAGACGGGCTGTGACTATGACTTTTCAGATCACCCAGTAATGCTATCTGCAAGGTTAGTTCCAGGTAAATATTGCAATCCTTTAGCCATTCCTGGACCTGTGTCCAAAAACAAGCTACAAATGGACAGAACCAAAACAAATGATCTAATGATTCTGTCTCTTCACAGCAAAATCTGCAGAGCTGGGAAGATTGTATCCCCCATATAAATAACATTCTGAAAAAGCCTCCTATACCTGCTGATTTGAGCTGTTGAACTGTATTTGCACTTAATTGGGTTTAGCAGGGATCAAATCAAATTTTATTGGTCACATACACATATTTAGCAGATGTTATTGCAGCTGTAGCGAAATGCTTGTGTTCCTAGCTCCAACAGTGCAGTAGTATCTAACAATTCACAACAATACACACAAATCTAAAAGTAAAAGAATGGAATTAAGAAATATATAAACATAAATGTGGAGCTATATACAGGGAGTACCAGTACCAGATCAATGTGGAGCTATATACAGGGAGTACCAGTACTAGATCAATGTGGAGCTATATACAGGGAGTACCAGTACTAGATCAATGTGGAGCTATATACAGGGAGTACCAGTACCAGATCAATGTGGAGCTATATACAGGGAGTACCAGTACCATATCAATGTGGAGCTATATACAGGGAGTACCAGTACTAGATCAATGTGGAGCTATATACAGGGAGTACCAGTACTAGATCAATGTGGAGCTATATACAGGGAGTACCAGTACCAGATCAATGTGGAGCTATATACAGGGAGTACCAGTACTAGATCAATGTGGAGCTATATACAGGGAGTACCAGTACCAGATCAATGTGGAGCTATATACAGGGAGTACCAGTACCAGATCAATGTGGAGCTATATACAGGAAGTACCAGTACCAGATCAATGTGGACCTATATACAGGGAGTACCAGTACCAGATCAATGTGGAGCTATATACAGGAAGTACCAGATCAATGTGGAGCTATATACAGGGAGTACCAGTACTAGATCAATGTGGAGCTATATACAGGGAGTACCAGTACCAGATCAATGTGGACCTATATACAGGGAGTACCAGTACCAGATCAATGTGGAGCTATATACAGGAAGTACCAGATCAATATGGAGCTATATACAGGGAGTACCAGTACCAGATCAATGTGGAGCGATATACAGGAAGTACCAGTACCAGATCAATGTGGAGCTATATACAGGAAGTACCATTACCAGATCAATGTTCAGAGGTACGAAGTATTTGAGGTAGATGTGTACATGAAGGCAGGGTAAAGTGACTAGGCATCAGGATAGATAATAATAAGGTATTTGAGGTAGATATGTACATGAAGGCAGGGTAAAGTGACTAGGCATCAGGATAGATAATAATAAGGTATTTGAGGTAGATATGTACATGAAGGCAGGGTAAAGTGACTAGGCATCAGGATAGATAATAATAAGGTATTTGAGGTAGATGTGTACATGAAGGCAGGGTAAAGTGACTAGGCATCAGGATAGATAATAATACGGTATTTGAGGTAGATGTGTACATGAAGGCAGGGTAAAGTGACTAGGCATCAGGATAGATAATAATAAGGTATTTGAGGTAGATGTGTACATGAAGGCAGGGTAAAGTGACTAGGCATCAGGATAGATAATAATAAGGTATTTGAGGTAGATATGTACATGAAGGCAGGGTAAAGTGACTAGGCATCAGGATAGATAATAATAAGGTATTTGAGGTAGATATGTACATGAAGGCAGGGTAAAGTGACTAGGCATCAGGATAGATAATAATAAGGTATTTGAGGTAGATATGTACATGAAGGCAGGGTAAAGTGACTAGGCATCAGGATAGATAATAATAAGAGTAAAATAAAGAACAGAGTAGCAGCAGCAAATGATGTGTGTAAAAGTGTGTGTGTCTTCAGAAAGTATTCTTGCCCTTGACTTATTCCACGTTTTGTTGTTACAGCCTGAATTCAAAATGGATTACAGAAATACAGAAATGTCTCATTTATATAAATATTCACACCCCTGAGTCAATACTTTGTAGAAGCACCTTTGGCAGTAATTACAGCTGTGAGTCTTTCTGGGTAAGTCTCTAAGAGCTTTCCACACCTGGATTGTGCAACATTTGCCCATTATTCTTTTCAAAATTCTTTAAGCTCTGTCAAATATGTTGTTGATCATTGTTAAACAACCATTTTCAGGCCTTGCCATAGATTTTCAAGTAGATTTAAGTCAAAACTGTAACTCGACCACTCAGAAACATTCACTGTCTTCTTGGTAAGCAACTCCTGTGTAGATTTGGTGTTTTAGGTTATTGTCCTGCTGAAAGGTGAATTCATCTCCCAGTGTCTGGTGAAAAGCAGACTGAACCAGGTTTTCCTCTAGGATTTTGCCTGTGCTTAGCTCCATTCCATTCATTTTTTTATCCTGAAAAACACCCCAGTCCTTAACGACATCAAGCATACCCATAACATGATGCAGCCACCACTATGCTTAAAAATATAAAGAGTGGTACTCTCACACATACAATTTATCTGTGTTCCGTCTGGCCCGGCGGCCTTGGGAGTGTTGACCTGTTTAAAGTTTCACTCACAGCGGCCACGGAGAGAGAGATCACACAGTCATCCGGAACAACGTGCTTTCACGCAAGACTCAGTTCATTTATGTGGTTTGGGAGTTCTGCGTCATGGCTGGGTTTCCCTGGGTAATCCGTCATCTTCTGCAAGCCCTGCCACATACGACGAGCGTCGTAGCCGGTGTAATAGGATTCCACCTTCCTCCTATATGTTCCTTTTAGCATGTTTGATATCTTGTTGGAGGTCGTAGCTGGCTTTCTTGTCTGCGTCTGTGTCTGTTCATTGCAAGCGGTAGCTCGAACCTTTAGACCAGGGCAGATATTGCCAGTAATCCATGGTTTTTGGGTTGGATACGTTCGTCACTGTGAGGACAAACGTCGACTAAGGCCCGTGACTGATGTGGCAAACATGACAGTTCTA